AGAATATGGAGAGAAATTAAAGGAATATATTTTATCTTTTTAAAATTAAATTTTCTCTTCAAAATTCTCATTTCGAAATTCATAATTTCAATTTCAAATTTATTATTATTTTGGTTTTCGTTATTTTTATATTTTTGTATTTTAATAACAAATAACAAATACCGCACAACAAATATCAAATAAAACAAAATAAAAATGACCCGGACAAAATACGGTATCCTAATCTATAATGCTCTATCTATTTTTGTTATTATTTAGATAAGTCAAATTGAGTCGATTGTGATTCTTCTTGTTCCACTCTGAATAGTCTTGTTATCGTATTCAGTTGTTTTCCTGATGGATGGTCAGAGGCCACACATGGACAATAAAAAAGCCCGCCATGCACAGTGTACCRGTAACAATTCTAAAGAAAACCTGAACTGGCTACTACAATAAGAGTGAGGAGATTTGAGCTCATGACTTGAAGATAGGTGTTATTTATTACTAAGTCAAGCTTTAGCCTCTTTTTTACKGTTGTGAAAGTACAATTAAGTTAAGCAAATACCSGTATATTTTTAAGTTGAAATTTGAGTCCTAATTGTTCTACTAAAAAAATTATTAACAAATAAATAAAAAATAAATCAAGGTAAAAAAAAATTGATTTCAGACCTTTAYTTTTACTTTTGTTTTTTTCAATGCGTTTTTCTATTGTTGCAAAAAATGGAGGGCCTTCYTTGTAATTTCAACCAAGATTATATTTATCTGAACTGAAGCGAATGGATTTTTTAAGTGGAATGAATCTCGAGTTTAAGAAATATTGGTCGAGATTGTGCAGTATTCATGTCATTTCAAGCAATATTTAATATATGCTCTAGTTGGTAACCGTTTTTAAAAGTTAAAATTTTAGTATAAAAATTTTCAATATTGTTTTTAATAATTCTCTAAATTTAAAAAAAAAACAACAAATTATCAGATAAAACATTGAAAACCTAAGATTTATTAGACTTTTTTTTAAAATTTAATTGGGAGATTTATTTAGACATGGCCTTAAAATTTAAACATCAAACTTATCATTTAACCCCTTTTAAAAGTTTCGAAATTAAATATGTAAACTATCAAAATTTAACGGATAGATTTGTAATTTAACCCAAAAAAAAAAAATCAGTCACGAGAAGAGACCTAACGAACAAGCCTTGTGACTCGGTTTTTTTCCCAAAAAGAGAAAAAGAAGTGTATAAGAGACAGGAATATGACGTTCATGGCCTCGGTCTTCCCTCTGCCGCTAACCGGACTTCGTTTCCCTCTTTCGCCGTCCGATGCTCTAGAATCCGCCATTTTTGNAGAGACCTAACGAACAAGCCTTGTGACTCGGTTTTTTTCCCAAAAAGAGAAAAAAAAAAGGAAAAAAAACTAAAATAAAACCCTTAGGGCAGTTTATTTTTCCTTTATTTTCAATATATTTTAAAAATAATTTGTCATATAATTTTGAGCTTTATTCAAAATATTATTTTTTAGTAAAATTTAAAATATAATTATAAAAGACGTTTATGTAAAACCGAAGTTTAAAATGACTCTGAACTAAATTCTCTAACAAAATTTTGAAATCTCAGGAGTAAGAGGTAAGATTTTGAAATTTACTAACCAAATAAGATATTTATCTCTAATTTCACACTCAAATGCATCTTAAAAAAATTAATTCAACAATGCAAACACCAACAAATGTGTTCGATGTAGAAATATGGCCGATTTACTAAATTTGCATCAATCTTTAAGAATAAAAATGGATCACTCTACAAAATAGAAAGGTTATGCGCCCATATGATGCTAGCCACACACTTCGATGTAAGTCAGAATTTGAATTTTATGTGGAGCTGTAGTATTTTCTTCTATTTATAAAATCTAGGGTCACTAGCATATTTTCACGGAAAATCTTAAAGCCATGATATCTTTCTTTTTTTAATTTCTTAAATAAAGCGAATTCAAATGGTAGAAAACATAAAATTTTCCTATCCATAGCATTAGTCCCACCCTCAACCCACCATCAAAGTTGAAGATAATGAGTTAGYCGAAATGTCGAACTTCTACTTTGAGAGTATTTGTCATATATCAATTGTCGGTCATTCTTAAACCATCATCCTTGGTAGGTAATTATTGGTTGACTATTCTTGGTTTGTTATCCATTATCAGTTATTTTTGTTGATCTCGGTGTACTTTACTTCTTTGGGGAATATCAATAGAATTATTAATCTTGTTTATCATAAGGATGAACATAAACTTGATGTTATGTTGTTTTCAATGTCTATGTCGAATTTGTTTGCTCAYCTCCTATCGTCTTTAAAATTATCTTCAAACTATTCGTTTTCTCTTTGAAAGAATATCAGATGAGTAAGTCGRCTTTCTTTTTGTTCATTTGTTGAAGAGCTGAAGAATTGAATATTTCTTCCATGTGTGATGGTAGATCTGACTGATTGCCTGGCTCTATAGGTGGATGCCTAGTCCGTGGACTACTCGACCTGTCGAATTTTGCAAGATCAAGTCCTTATTAGATTTACTTGGTCGACTTGATCTATAGGACTCTAAACATGACTAAGCAACTGTTTGTGGAAGAGTCGGTATATTATCAGGTTTATTGGCAGCACGCAGGAAACAAACACGATTGATGTAGTGGAGGCCGGAACCTAGTGACCTGGTCGGTCGGGACCACTTGGTTGACGGGTACCAGTTACTGATTGGTTGTGGCACAGTTCGTCCTTTGGGCCTCTAGGTCTTTACTTTTCTCTCACTTATGCCCTACTCGAACTTTCACCTTGTTTGTGGGCTTGTGTCTCATTTGTCTAGTCTAGCWTCGTTTTCCCCTAAAAAAAATGTATCAAGTGTAGGGAATCAATCATTCACTAATTTTTCCAAAGCGAGCATAGCTCAACGGTAATTGACATATATTAAGGAAAAATATCTTTATAAAATCTCTCCCTACAGCACCTTCTTGTAGTGACTATCAGGATCTCTTCATCCAATTACCCTATAATGAGAAAGAGTGAGTTTCATCACGTATGTAAATCAAAGGACATGCCTTCATATAGACAGAAATTCATGAATCACTCAAGATTAAGATCGAATCACATGTGATCATTTTGCGAAATACTTATTTTATCTTTTAATAGATTTACAAATAAATATTAAATATTTTGTAGTCTAGTTTTATATTGTATATGATACTTCCACTCTTTTTTTTATATATATACAACATGTGGGGGTGMGGGTTTGAACTCATGACCTCTTGGTCAGAGATACTTCAACTCACATGTAAACTATTTTTGGATCAAACCATATATAACATTTACAAAGTGGGTCATATTAGAAGTATTACTAATATTGAACACTCAATTTTATCTATATACTATAGATTCTTCAGATTATATATATATATTACTATTCAATAATTGTGGGTTGAAGATCGAGAGATGGTAATAACTTATCTACCCAACTATGCTTGGATGGACAATTTAGTCTTTTGTTAATATTATTTACAAAACGTCATCATCCACTCCAAAAGAAACGGAAAAAAGGAAGGAAAAAAGTAGATAGAATCATCACCCGAGTTCTAGTTTGACCTTTTTAAAACTTCCAATGGCATCAATATCGTTTATGGAATAAATAATATATAAAATAAAAAGGTCCCACCGAGATTTGAACTCGGGTTACTGGATTCAGAGTCCAATGTCCTAACCACTAGACCATGGGACCATTTTAATTAATAGATGCCACTATTATTAAAATAATCAATATATCAACAATAATTTACGAAATAATAATACCGTAAAACGTTAATATATGTTTATAGACTTTTAATAGAATTTTTTCAATTTAATTTTTATTGTTAAAAAGATTTTCAATATAGTCACATTCTATTTTTAAATTTTTTCTATTTAGTCTTTCGCTATAGGTTAATGTTAAAATTAATTGATGATAAATTTACGTAATATAATACTTAGTGAGTTGGGATAAGTTTAGAAAAGAAGAAAATACAATATTTTTATAAATTACTTAGACCCCTCGGTTTAGCTTTCTATTTTTAAAAAGTAAATTTAGGAATGTTACTTTAATATATGTGTCTATTTTGTTTTGTTATATAGTTTTTTAATTTTTTTTTTAAATCTAGGCCAATTTTTTTTTTAAAAAAAGGTCGTTTTTGTTTTTGAAAATACAATATTTTAAGGGGGACTAACTTACTAATAAAATTGTGTAAAAAAACGTAATTTTTAGGATTATTTGTAATTTATAAATAAATTTGAGCGATTAATTTTTGTAATTTATAAATAAATTTGAATCTTTATCGGTTTATCAATCTAGATATATAAGAAATTTAACAAAAAAAATTCCCAATAGAGATTAAATCGTTACAAACTTTAAACTTAAAGGACCAAATTATTATATTCTAAATTTTGGGGACTAAATTGTTACCAATTTGAAAGTCCAAGATTAAATCGTTAATTTCGAAAGTTTAGAGATTAAATCGGTACTCCAACTAAATTATTGGGACCAAAAGTGTTATTTAACCAAAAAATTAATATAAGCTTCGATAATAATTTTGTGTTTAGTTTGATGTTTCTAAAAGTTATGTCTACTTTCTTACCATTTATTTATCATATTTTTTTTTACATTTCTAAAAAGAAACTTGAATTTTTAGCTAAATTTTAATGATGAAAACAAGTTTTTTTAAAGTTTTATGTTTTCTAAATTGGGCTTAGATTCAGCGAAGTGTAATAACTAAAAAACACATCTTAGACCAAAACGCAAAAAAGTTATCCAACAAAGAGCCTAAATCATTTGAACTTATTTTGTAGACTCAACAATTTTCTTCGGATTAAAAAACTTGATATTCCGCTTATACCCCTATTTGCGTGGGATTCGCAATATTTGATTAGGAGGAGATTGAGATTGAGATTGAGATTGAGATTGGAAGGAGAGAGAAGGGGGAAGGAAGTGGAAGATTTTGGCAAGGGATTATTTTTTTTACATGAGGGTATTTTAGTCTTTACACAATTGTCAAAAGTAAAAATCATTACAAAAAAAAACATGTTGAGGAAAAAAAAGTAGTTTGAAAAATGGTCAAAAATCCAATCCATTCTTGGAATCAAAAACCCCAATTTCTCATATATTTCTTTTCCTTCCATCCCATCACTTGGAGAATATAAAAATAGATTGGTCATGTCATGGCTATGGTTGATGCCAAAATCTGCTTAAGTCCCGTGGAGTGTCATGTTAGGTCGGTGCAAGTCGTCCGGAGTGAGCTTYTTCGAGGTAACTGCAAGGACAGATAAGCCACTCCAACGCCCAAGTCAAGTTCAATATCCGAACCTAATAGAACAGCTTCAGACATATTTTCATACCTGGCTTGGTGGGATGGTGATGTATTTATAGTAGTCAAAAGAGTAGCTACCTATACCGTCAAGATATTTACCCGTTCAGGTCGCATGTGGGCTCTCGGACCAATCCCTACTTTAAGATGGGGCATTTGGAACCCTGTCCGCATTTGGGTACTGGGCCTCAACCTATCAGGTCAGTCTTTGTGACCTTGGAATAGGTCGCCCACGACAAGTTTAACCTCCAGCAAGTACTAAATAGTACAAAAAGAACAAAACCCTTTATAAGTGATAAATTAGAGGGAGGGAGAGAGAAGAGAGACTTCATTTTTTCCTCAAAAGAAACAAAATACGGGTAAGAAACATAGGGGTGGCAAACTATTGAAGCTAAGAAACCCAACAACATCCAAAAGGAGGATACAACAAAATGTTTTACACATAATATTACCATAACATAGGTACATAAAACCAACCAAAAACCAGCATTTGTCCCAAAAAGAGGATATAACAAAAATGTTCAGCCTCCCATCCATTATGACCAACCAAAAGCTTCACAAAATGGCAGCATCAGCATGCATCCAGAGCCACAAAACCAGAGCAAATCAATTCTGATTCACCATATGAAGTATGAACTAAACCAAAAGAACATTCAACCAAAACAAAGATGCTGCTTTCTACCAGATGCGAAGCTCCAGCTTGACCTGGTTATTATTATTAGAATAAAAAATCTTGTTGGGAATCATAAGGAACTCCTCTGGAAATGGCTCATCAACCAGCTCCCTAACGACCATCATCACTTCTGAATGAAAGCTGAGTGTGATTTTTTTAGATTTAATAGCCACATTAAAGGAAGGTCGATCCTCGATCGAGGCCCACCCGATACTATTCACAGTGATCGCCTTTCCCAGAGGTTAGGTTCTACTAGCAAGCACGAAGAGAACTYCACCTCTCTTTTCTCGGAGGATGAGAAACTTGTCGTCGAGTTTCAGGTCGATGGTGAAGGTGGACCAATATTCGAAGTGGGCCAGTATTCGAAGTTAAAAGCTGATGTAGGGTGTTTCTGGTTGAAATGTGAGTAGAGTTTCTTCGACGAGGCGACAAACTCGCAGTCGAATAGAGGGCAGGGACATGGACTAAATAAACATGTGTTCAAGTGCTCTTTTCTCTGACCAAATGTCAACTTCTCTTTGCAGCAATACCTTGRGTTTTGACAGGATCTCTCGAGTGATTCAAGAACAATCTCGATGGCTCGACAACGGATCTCGTCAATTTTAATATGACAAGAGGGGCATTCTTTTACATTTCTACTGCAGCAATCAGAGCATGCTATATGTCCATTTTCACACTAAAACCACAGAAATTTCAGACTTGTTAAGAACATGTAAAGGAGCTCTAGTATATGCTGAACTATTAGCTCARGACTTTTAATGTTTATTAGTATCATAAAAGAAAGTCATGTGCTCGAACTAATATTTGAACCTACGGTGAAGTGTGGAAGAAATTAGCACAAAAGAAGAAAGAAACTTTTATTAGGAAAGTGCAAAAATAGACATTATTTGGGAGAATGCTGTCTCTTTCTAACCCGCACTTTCCCCACTTTTGTAGTTTACCCGATAAGTGGGAACATACCCCAGGAGAGACACCCTTGGTGTGTCTAAGTAAAAGATATTTTTCAAGGTCCTTCTTCACACTTATATGTTCTAGACATTTCTTTCGTATATATCTAACCAAATGTGAAAAAAATTGAGGCCCAAGATGTACTACATGCCTAAGATATATCTAGAGCCCTTTGGGATATTTATTCACAACTTTAAAGACATTTCTAGTGAAGGAACTAATATATACACTTGTGTAAAGATCCAAGAAGCTTCTAGACATAGTCAGTGTTAGTAATTTATTTTAAAGTGAAAAGTAGAGTTAAAAATATACCTAGAAGGTTAAATATATTATGAACTAATAGCTTAAGTCTTTAGGTTTAGTAATATCATATAATTGAAGGTTTCTTGGTCGAACTAATATTTGAACCAACATATAAAGTCTATATAAGTCTAAAGAAGAGTGTTAAATAATATATATAGAAAGAAATCATAATCTATGAACTTAACCTTTTGGATTTAGTGTTTCATAGTTTCAAACTAATATTGACACGAACTGCAAATGTTCTTTGTGGAAATCATCAATTTCATCCCTAATCTTATCTTCAAAACACATAGTAGTCCAATGTTTCAAGTTCTACAAGGATAGAGCAGCAATGAATTTAACTCCAATTATTGCACAAATATCTCCCACAAGAACATGGATAAATTGGACCATCATTTTAGTATTCTGTTCAGAACACAAAGTGACACTACTTAGTTCTTAGAAATGCAATACAAAACAGATGATTGTCCCCCCATCAGCACCGGATGAAAAACAATACATAATCAGCCAGAGTCTATGATTACCCAAATCCACACTAATTAATTAATACGGCCACGACATACGATCAAGCGCAGAAGCAAGGAAGACGAATCGAATCCAACATTCATTTCCATTTTATCCTAAATTAGTCGAAATTCGTTAATTAGAAAGAAGATTATGACAGATTCGGTGGAGAAACAGACCTGGAAAACCGGAATCGCCAATGGCTCGCAGCAAATGTAACAGTCGAGAACTTCCGGATTTATCGTTACATTTTGAGACTCGATCCTCCTCTTCTTACTCGACGTATTCGCATTGCTCTCTGAATCCGGCGGATTTTCTTCAGCTTCTTCGCGTTGAGCACTTTGTAGGATCTTACTCTTCGTCGCCATGATTTGAACTTCTCCGATGCTCCCGCGCCTTTTATCCTCTTTGTCCCGTGCAGGCGTCCATGTTTTATTTTAAGTTTATYAGAGATATACATCATTCACTAAACTATTTATAAGAATAACGCTCGAAAAACAATGGTATATACCGTGTATGAGATGACATGCCATAATTAAAAAGAAAAAAAAACATGACGCTAATACGGCACCATACAACTAAAAATTCAGTGTCTTTGTCTTACACATAAAATATTTTCTTTTTAGTAAAATAAAAATTCCTTTTTTTAGTACAACAGGTTGAGGAGGGAATTCGAACTTAAAATCCCGAGAATTCGAAGTTTCAATTCCATCACTCAACAATTTTCTTCAACTAGCTGGGGACAAGAGCTTCTCATCTCTCAAGATTTTGTGATCTCAAGGGAAGGCTGGAACTTTCTTGGCTATGATGAAGATTTATGTCAGGTCTGAGTCCGTGTTGTTAGAAGCCTAATGGATTCGAGAAAGTTTGACTCGACGATCATTGATAGCCATGATCCGATTATACTACCTTCACTCTTTCGAAAATAGCTAGCATTTTTGCTAATTTCACCAACAAACTCCCTTGTAGRTATTTATGTTGTTCGAGATGTCATGACTATTGTAATTAAACCGTAAAATATTGCAARATGTATTTACAAATTATCACTGATCCATAAATATTGTTACAATCAAACTCTTGAATTATAGTATTTTTACRGTCAAACCTAAATTTTCTTAATTGAGACATCAAGCTCAATATTGATATATGAAAGCCAAACTTCCAATGGTTAGTATTATAGTTTTCAAATTTCATGAATTAAAATAACTTTGGTAAATTGTAATAATCCAAGTTTGATTAACAATTTTTCTAGTTGGAAGGTAGTTTGGGCATTTTACAATATTAAAGAATTTAATTTAACAATTTTGTAAATTAACAAAGTCCATATGCTACTCGGAAGGAAAAAAAAGGTGTAAAAGTCCATATACTTCCACGGTGGTTTTTACAATTTTCTCAAAATTTTACAAACTTTTCATTTTCGTTTTTTTTTTTTTAATATACAGCAATACAATAGTTAGGTGAAAACTGTAACCTTCGATAGAAAAGATGATTGATGTCTTGATGTCAAGCTACACTCAAAATTAACATTAAGTTTGCAAATATGTTATTATTTGATGATGATTCAATATATTAGTACAACAATACGTGGGAGTAGGAATTCAAACTCACTATTTTTTGGTCGGGTACAYGCCTTAACTTTAGGAGTGAGCAAAAAACTTCAAAAAACTTATCTAACCGACCAAATTGACTGAACTGACATCAATGGTCGATCAAACTTGGTTGTTCGAAAAACCGACCAACATTGAATAGTTCATTTTTAGAAAAAATTAAAATAATGTGTAGCCTGCCATCTGCGTTATGCTGCAGTAGCCTTGGAAACCAGTGGCCATTTAGTGTAGACAATTGGTTTGATCTACCAAGGAAATCGATACGGAATGAGTCCTTTGAAATCCTRCCATTCTCTGCATTTTCATCTCGTAGAAATTCCTGCTACCCTGTCAGTAGTAAAGTATTATCCTTACTCAGAGTTCGACTTAAACTTCTTAGCCTTCTTAGCGATGAAACTCGAACCGAATCATGAGTACTTTGAATTGAAACACTATCATCTTGAGCCAAATCTCAGCTTATCAGAGACTCGGAGAACTTCAATTCAAGTTTTAAGTAACTTACTCAAAATCACGAGTGTCGCCTTCCAGACTACATCTCGCTGTTCTCATCGTGCTGAGGTTTCGACACATATTCAGATATTGACTCGAGCATTATTTAGCTTCTGCACAATGGTTTTACGAGAAGAGATTGGTGAAATGTGAACGTACAATTGCGGCCTCTGGATTTGCCAAAACCTATACTGGTTTAACTGATTGGTAAAAATCACCTTTAAGATCTTACAGAGACTAGAGAGAGAGCTATTTGAGAATGGAAACAACAAATTAGGATACAACAACGGAAGCTGAGGAAGAGGAAGAAGAACCACGTGGGTCTCGTGTCATACAGGACTCGGTTCTTCTGTTTCTTGTTGGGTACCGCGCTCCTCGTCGTTTCCTTGACCCCCTTGATATCCATTCTGCAAGATCTTGTCTTCTGAAGGCAGATTCTTCTTGGCTTTCCTACTCCCTTCCACCTTCCATAGATCCCAGACTCGGGTTTTTGGCGGAGCAGCTGCATCTGCAATTGGAGCAATGAGTCCTGGCTTCCCATCATCAATAACTTCATCAATCAAACCATATTCCTTAGCTTCCCAGGGATTCATGAAATTATCTCGGTCCGTGTCCAATTCAATCTGCAAATGACAACTCATAAATTTCATGGGTTTCAGAAAGAAACTGAGAACCGAGAAGAGTTAAAGAAACAATGTAGAGGCAAAACCTGCTCTAATGGCTTTCCTGTGATTCTTGAAAAAATTTTGTTCAGCTTGATCTTGTGATACGCCATTTCTCGTATCCGTATACTCATCTCTGTTGCCTGGCATGGACAACGGGGTAACCAATGAATTACAAAGTGTTTAGGGGAGAACTACCATAAGTGGAAGCTCAAATTTACATATTATATAGATCAACAGGGCAAATTAATAGTTATAAAATTTGGGAAAAGTTCCTGCATTTGATAATTGATTCTATGCCCTTATACCCACTCTAGGTGGGCGAGCTAAAGAATGCCAATTGCGTCTTTATAAACCAGTGATAGGCCTTCCCAAAGCGAGCATAGCTCAGCAGTAATTGACATATATCTCCAAAAYCAAGAGGTTGTGAGTTCGATCCCCCACCCCACCTTTTGGACTAAAAAAAAAAACAAGTGATAGGCCTCAGATGGCCTATCTCCAATATATTCAACTAATCATCCCAAATCAGGGCGCAAACAGCCAGTAACCTTAGCTCTTTGAGAGGCCAAGAACTCTCCCTCCTCAAGGAAAAATATTCCCCAAGGCCAAAATACTAACAGAATTCTCAGATGCGTAAAAAGAGATCCTAAACCCATAGATAAACCCACCCTCACAACCTATGGCCGTGTCCGACCTATTTCAAAAATGGGGCTCACTCTAGTGCACGTACTCTAAAAAAGCATAACTAACTCTCTTTCTTCTTTTTGCTGTCCTCTCTTCGGGTATACACAATACACATGCTGCACGGCTGGTATGTTCCCATCAATAAGTTCACACACAAAATAACTCAAGTTTATAACAACTAGATTATGCAATACTCAAGAATTACTTAATTGGAAGAAATTTTTGGTATTTTCAGATGGCTGTTGATCTTGATCTCCCTATGGCCATCATACAATTCCAACAACTACATCAAATCCTCATAAACATATATCTGCATGTTTCCACAACCACTTAATAGAATGAACGTAGAATAATTTAGATATTTAGCAAGTTCAACCGGGACTAGAAAAGTAAATAAAATGAAGGTGAAACAAAAAAATGCAATCACGGTGGAAAACGAGCTATGAACTTTATGATCTAACTTTTAACATCAGCCCCATAGAAAATAATAGTGTACTCACCTTCCCTCCAGCTGTTCCGAGAGGTTGATGGATCATCACTCTCCCATTGGGCATGCAGAATCGCTTTCCCTTTGAACCAGCAGCTAGAAGAAATGCTCCCATAGATGCAGCGAGTCCTAGACAAACTGTTGAAACGTCGGCCTTGCACAACTTCATTGCATCGTATATTCCCATTCCTACATGCAGCCACAAAATGTTGAGAAACATATATGGATGAAAAACAACACACAACATTAGAGGTAGACCGAAAGAAAAAGTGGAACTCCAAAGCTCAATTTGAGAAGGCCTTGAAATGATTGAAGAAGGAGGAGATGAACAGAAGATAAACGAACATAATAAGGGCTGCATTAGTGAGGGAAAACGATAGAAGAGGTAAATGCTTGGGGAGGCAAGTGGGTTCATATGCTAGTTACAGCTTACAAATAACGAGGCAACGGGGAGGAAAGTCGAACTCACTAGACAGAATGGGCATTGCACAATTTTCAGTAATATAATTCTTAAGCCAGTTGAAGGAAAGAAACCAACCCACAGCAAGGGTATGTTTATGCAACCCTCCTAATCAGAAAATATATTATTTCATGCGAAATGAAATTGAATCAGGTAATATGAATATCATCCAAACTCTTGCCCCATGATTGCCACACCACATTCTAAACTTTTCATTTGGTTGATGGCAAAAGTTACAACTATGGTGGTAACAAGTAATAACTAGTTTAACTGAACATGGAAGAGAAATAAGAATATTTTTTGAAAACTAAGCATGTCACACTGTTCTCTCTAATACATGAATGAATTAAACTATCATAAAACAAAAATACAATAACACAACCACTAACGGACACTCTTGGCTCACAACTAGACGGATTATGATCCTGGCTCAGATATGACACTTCCCAAGCTACTTCCAAAGTGAGAATAATCAAGTCAAAGCAAAGCACAACAGATTAGGACCTGAATCTCAAATGTTTCAATGATTCCAAAATTTTGAAATATGCTTATCTTGCATTGAGATCTACATTCCGACATTCCGATTTAAAAGGATGGAAAGCTAAAGAGCATTGCCATTCTATTATCTGCATTTGATCAACACATAAGGCGCCATGATCTCATTTTGAAGTGAAAAAATATATATGTGGATTTAGCAATATACTTCACACTCTACATATACGTGCTTACAGAGTGATAAGAAGCCTATTTGAGGCCAAGGCTAAAACCAGCCTAGAAGAATGAAGGGAAGGGAAGGGATTCCGTGGAAAGCAGGTGTGAACAATAAAGATTTTAATTTTTACGAGATCACCCTTCCAACAACTTCGTATCAGAACTATAATTTATCACTCTAAAAATATTAATCAAGGATTTCATGATGAAAATTAAATGATGCTAAAAATACCAGCAGTGACAGAGCCACCAGGTGAGTTGATAAACAATTTGATGTCTTTTGTTGAGTCTTCAGCATCAAGAAACAGTAGCTGGCTTATGATGAAATCTGCTGTCATGTCATCAACCTGCCAGTAGCACCAATAGATCACTAACAGTAACAGGTAGTCTACAAGTCAAGTTAAACAATTCACAAATCATCCAAACAAAACCAATTCAACATAATGAAAAAAGCAAAACCTCACAATTTAAACCTAAGAAAGCTGCAAAAATATTCAACACAACTGGTCCAGAAATCAGGAATCGGAATCTTGTTTCACAGAGAGAGAGAGGGAGACTACCTGAGAGCCCAAGAAGATGATTCGCTGGCGGAGAAGCATGTTGGTAGTGTCGAGCTCTTCGAACCTAGCCAGCGATGGAGCGGAAGTTGCAGAAAAATTCTCCAAAACGTCCCAATTACTTGATAAGGTCCGCCTCATCGACGAAGAACTGAGCGAGGCCTTCACTAGAGGAGCCGATTTTGGGGTCCTAAGACCATTTAAACTGGAATTGCCGCCATGGGAGTGCTTCCGAGGAGTGAAAAGTGGAAACTGAGAACTTAGAACTCCATGGTCGAAGCGCATGAGCCTCTGAGGCGAAGGAGAAGGCGTGTATGTGAAACTCATCTCCATTTTCCCTCTTCTCTGCGATGAAGAGAAGAAATCCAAGATTGGGGTGGCGGAATTTCGTCTCTACCAAAAATAAAAATAAAGAGTTTTCTTCCTAAAATCTGCTCGTTTCTTTATTTTAATTTGGTTTCTAAAATTCTTTTTAAATAAAATAAATTATATTAATATAGTAATTATGCATATTTAAAATGAAAAAATTGCAAAGCATCATGTATGTTTATGTATATATTAATATATATATATATATATATTATATATATATATATATCATATAAGTAAATTTGAGGAAAAATAATATACTCACGGTATCGAAGTTAGAATACTGTTAAAAGTGGGTAGAAGTCGTGTCTCAAAACAACAACATAGGTATCTTTTTATATATAGAAAAGTAACGTGGCTACATATCGTCCTTTCAAAAGATGACATACGATAGATAAGAGATGATCTARTAGTAGAGTACTAGGAATTTATAAATCATTATTTTTTAATAAGTTTGGATTTGAGAATTTTTTTTAAATAAGTTTAAAAATAATAATATTAAAAAATCCTAACTTTTTCGTTGATAATTCTAACAATGTCATTCATGTATTTTTAGTTATTTTGATTAATCGGTATGATCGATATTTTATTCTAATCAAATTATATAATGGATCTTTTATCTTTATTGTATTAAAATGTGAGATAGAGAATTAGTTGGAAGCTTTTTTTGTCTTTGGTATAAATGTAAAATTCCAAACCAGCGGTACTATATAGTTTATACTTGAATTATTATGTTATTTCGTTATTAAAATGAAAATAATATATATTTTTTAAATTAATTTAAGACCTAACTTTATGAATTTACSTAGGTAAGTAATATGCTAACCTGGATTTAGCTCAACTAATTAAAGTACCTATTACCGATAAAAGGTTGTAGGTTCGTATACGATGTTGTGTTAAAAAAAATTAGGTAAATAATCTTATTAAATATATATTAACATTTTTCATGATAACATACGAAATTATTACCAATTTTAAAGTACATAGACTAAATTGTAACATACTAAATTTTATGGACTAAATTATTACAAAATTAAAAGTATACAACTAAATTGTTATCATGTCGCTAAGGATTTGATATTACAAAACCATTCCAATCATAAAAATACGAATTAAATATAAAAAATGACAATCAACTTGAGCAAAACTCAATTTATATCGGATCAAAGTTGGGCCGACTTACGTCTTTTCCTTACTGTCATTGCCATCTCACAACTTGGAAGAAGAAAATGAAATATGAACAGCTGTGTRGTCGTAATATATGATTTTCACGCTAGTTCTTGTTTAGTATGAAAGTTCCATTAAAAAATTTGATGTAATGGTTGATTCAATCCGACYTTCTATGTTTTATTTTATAGGCGATTGGAGTCGATGTAACTAAATTTGCCATACAGTAATAAGAATCTTAACAATTAACTTAAAATTACTAATTAACTTTACGCTCGAGAATAAAATTTCTAAATTCTATTACTAAAGATTTGTAACTTTGTTTTACAAAAGGATTTGTAAGTTATTGAAGAAGGATAAAATACATCATTACATTTACCTATTCAAATAAAAATGATAGTTTTTATATTATTTTCCAAATTGTTTTAAAAWTGTATTAAAAAAATTTGTTTTAAAATTTAAAGAATATCCGAAGATATTTTATTGATATTTTCATGAATTTATGAAATCGAATTTTCCGAATTACGATTCTTGTTTTACGGATTCTATTGTTCAATAGAACAAAATCTCTGCATTTCACTTATTTTTGTTGCGAATTCCACCAGTTCGGTGCAATGGCTCTCAATCTCCATTGTTACTGTTCTTCGACTCGCTTCCTTCCTCTCACTCCCAAAGCTCCGTCGGAAGTTCTTCGCTCCGATCGTCTGAATCGCGCTTCAAAATTGAGCGCAGATTCGACTAAATTCCACACAATACGAAACTCCGCGAACTCGAACAACCAATTGACGCTTAGAACTTGCAGAAATTGCAAGACACAATTTGACCCCTCCCTCAATCACCCTCGAGCTTGCCGATTTCACACCGCTCATTTTGGAGGTAACGCCCTAAATTCTTTCTATTTCATAGCCATTTTTCGTTTTTTTTGTTTACGGAATTTGAATATGTTGAAAGCTCTGCTTGCTCTTCAACTTTTGATTTATCATGATTTGTCATCCCTGTTTAGTTACTTGCAAACAAGTTACTAGATAAAACTGCGAATTGAAGGTTTATATTCTATTCTCATGAGTACATTTACTTCGAATTGTTGTAGATATCTACTCATAATGTAAACAAACAAAACATTTGAAAGTTTAGGAACTAAAATGAAATAAATAAAAGTCCAGGTACAAAATAGGATTTGAAGTGAAATTCTGTTCTCTCGTTACTACTGAAGACATTCTTGAAAGATTATTAAAACAAGTATCTGCCTATTAATAGGGGACTCGTAGAGTCCATGAAGACACAACTTTTCTGAAGAATTTCCATAGTTATCTTCTTGTTATTGAGTAAGTTTCACTTTGAACATTAAGCAATCGAAGATTCATTAAGGGATTTCTTGAAGGATTGCTGTATTTTCGGAGTGCAGAAGCACACACATCTTCTCTATGGACAATATTTATAAACATGACTCAATCAAGAATTTACAGACTTTTCTTGTCTCTGTTTTACTATCAATTTGTTTGCTCATTGTTTGTGTTAATTATCTCAGAAGTTCATATTCCCTTAAATTTATTTCCAACAGTCAATGCCTTCACAAGATAAAAAATTATGTTACGAGCGTGTATGTGCAGGATTATGGCAGGATTTAGGTGCCTAGTGCTGGAAGGATTTTCTTTTACTAATTATCTATAGACCTGCAAGTTGAACCATTTTGCATAATTCAAACCTTATGTATAAGTATGGCCGAATKCATGCTGATTGATATTGATTGAAAAGATGAAAGTTATGAAAAACTGAAAACATTTTGTTACTCTTAACACCTGAATGGTTTTTAGTAATTCAGAGATYGAAGAGAAACAAAAAAGACAGCGGTTGTGTTTGAAGAAAATTACTACTTCTAGTTCTCCCTTGTACTTGCAGCATCCAACAGGAAACAACCAAAAAATGTAAAATAAAAATGGGAAGATAGATATTGATAATAACAATAACAGTAAGTAAGAATAAGAAACTGTTGAGAATGTCTTGAACCGCATGGTCCTTTTGCTTCAGATCATTTTTTTCTTCTTTTTATAACCGTGAGTTGTTCGGGTTTTCGTACGCTCACCTGAGCGTACTATATTTGGTTACCAAGGAAACTAGTAGGATATTAAATCTCAGGTAGGTGGCCACCATGTTTCAACTCATATCCTCTAAATTCTTTAGAATTTACTTTTGCCTCTTTGGACCCATAGGCCAACCTATGATGGTTTTACTTCTAAAAGTTCAAGTTCCAACTTCTCGAGGTGTTATTCGATTCCTGCCTCGATTTGCACGTATTTGGTGCTGTAGACTGTAATACGTCTCTGTTCTCTTCCTCTATACAGGTGAAACAAAGAGAAAGTTTGAAAGTGTACACACAGGAGGAACAATGGACACTCCAGACTCTGGCAAGGTTTTTCAATACTGGCATTGCTGTGGGTCTGAGGATCCTTTCGATCCGGGATGTACTGCTGCTCCACACTCCTCCTACGATGACAGTTGATACGTTAAATCGACAAATTTTCTCGAGGTTCCCTTCTTTCAGGAAAAACTCTTGATTCTTTTTTTACCTGAAGTCATATGTAAAACTGTACATATTTATATCCTATCTAAATTAACTATCTACTAGTGCAGTTTTGGGTACATGTTTATGTGTATGATGTCTATCATTGTCAAAGAAAATCTAAATTGTTTACTTCTAATGCAAAAATCCATTTTTCTTCATTGTTTATATTTATAGGTTTAACACTCTGATATATATCCATAAAATTATAGTCGATTTTTAAAAGTATAGGGATCAAGACAAACATTTTAAGAGTACAACAACTAAATAATTTATCGGAACTAAAGTTGAAATTACAGAAACCAAAATAAAATAACATGTACCATAATTTTTAAATGGTCAATAAAGAAAAATATCYCTCTTGAAAATATACGTGGAGTCRAACTTTTATGCCACGTTATCATAAATTTTAGAGGCATTTGGGTGATTTATATTGTCATTTTAATAACCTCCCTAAATTAGTGAGATWCATAGTGATATGAATTATTTTAAATTATCTATATAAAGATTAATTGTAGTTCCCAAATATGTGTGAAAATAAAAGAAAATTTGTTTAATTACTTGTAAAAGGTTGAAATTTGCTGGAAAATCATTTTCTTAATARTTATGAGCATATATACTAATTTATACGTACATCGACTAATTTTATGAGAAATGAGAATATTGTCCAATTGTATACAGTGGCAGAGTGGTGGCAGAGTGGAGAAGAATCGTCTCATCTCAATTTGTCTTAAACTAAACAGACAAATATAAAAAAATTTAAGATTTCAAAGTTCTCTCTAATTCCCCCTCTAATGCCTATGTAAAAAAAAAATTCAGATTTAGGATTTATAAAAAAATTTAAGATTTCAAAGTTCTCTCTAATTCCCCCTCTAATGCCTATGTAAAAAAAATTCAGATTTAGGATTTCATAGAATCTCAAAGTAAATTACAAATTTAATTTTAATTTCTAAATAATAAATTTAGATTAAAGCCAAAATCTAATTTATTTCATTTCAAATCACTCTCATTCCAAACAAGATAAAKGAATTTAAAAATCAATCATAGAATTTAAAATCATTTCTTAAACTTTYTGATGCCGAATAGAAGGTAAATTTTTAGAATCGAAAAATTATATATAAAGAAGTTAAGAGGTAAAATGTTGCTCCATGTGAAAATTGTAAGCTCCAACCTTGTAAGAGAGAAAAAAAGAAGTAATTTCATGAAAACTAGCTTCTTTCCTCACTTTTCTTTGGTATGTTCTCCTATTTTTTTAAAAATATATTTGAACTATTAACAATTTCAAAATCAAAAATAAATTTTTAAAAACTAGATTTGTTTGTTTTTAAAATTTGGCTTAGATTTTGAAAACATCTAAAAAAAGATAACAAAATAAAGAAATACGAAGTAGTATTCATAACTCATAAACTTAATTTTTAAAAAATAATAATAAATAGTTATCAAACAAGATATAAATTCATCGTCCAGACTTATCATGCTAATTAGGTTTGAAAATAAATTTATTCAAAACACTAACAACAAAATCTCTATCTTGATACCAATATAAGCATAGCTAAACCTATCTCTGAAYAAAAGGTTGTGAGTTCGAATTCCCACCCCTACATGTTGTCATATTAAAAAAAATCTCAATCTCAGACCGACCTAAAACATAAATATTAACRTTACAACTTACCTACTTTACCATTAAGTTAAAATAGCAAGACATTAACTACAACCCATGCCAAATATCAGATACCAATTATTCAAATACGACGTGTCATTCAGTGCATTTRGCTTCCATTTTTCTTAACGTAATAACTCGAAGTTTGAGGGCTATTGTTGTCATTTCAGTTTGGCGTAACACAAAAGGGACAACCTTCTAGCCTTATAAATAGATGTGATGAGGTACGAAAGAAGATCATTCCCAAGACATCATATCCTTGGCAAATAATGTTAATGAGTCCCTTCTGATCTCTTTCTGGTAAGAAGAAGAAGGCAAGTGGTTGAGAATGAGGTGTCGTAATTTTGAGGCTCAACATAAACATGAATGGAAATTTAGCTTCCCTTCGTTGACTGTGGGTAAAGAAGTGTCTCCAGGTATATGGGAGACTCTATTTAGCTACCGTCAGCAAAGTGGAAGCTAATGCTTTTAAGTTTTGGTTGTTGAGTTCTTGAACAAAATGACTAATCTTCCACCACTTTTTCTTTCACTTGCACCCCTTTTTATGTTCTTTTTTAAGTGTCGTTTTTACATATGTATTTAGTCAGGTGAGTCAAATTTAACATTAAAGTTTTGATTTCGTCATTTAAACTCACGACCTTTTGGTCAGAGTATGCCTAAAGTCATTACGTTTTTTTTATTTCTTTTAATAATAAATAAGAATTTGAGGTTGATTGAAGGTATTTGTTCTGGGACGAGCTATTCATACGAGTGTCGGTTCATTTGGTTGTGTTGGGATGTTTTTTAGTTGGATTAGAGCGTTTTGTGATTGAGTTTGGACACCTTTCTTAAATGGTTAAATTTTGTGGCTGTTTTTCAGTATCTTTCTCATTCAACTTTGGAATTTCATTGACTTTAATTTTTTAGTAGTCTTTTTTTTTTTCTTTTTTTCTTTTCTAAATAATGTGATTTATTTGTCAGTTTTTATAACCCATTTTAAAATTTTGATAGCGAGGAATTATTAATTTCATTACTCATTAAGTTTAAGGGATTAGTTTGACGAAATTGAAAGATTAAAGTTAAAATGGGTTGATTAGATGGGTAAAAAAAGACTTTCTTTTTACATGATGACCACCTAGAAATTAGTAATTTTCATGTGTTTTACAGCACCAAATGTCGTAGGGTTAGACGATTGCCCCATAAGATTATTTGAAGTGCGTATAAGTTGGCACGGACACTCATGAATATAAAAAAAAAACTTTCTTTGCTAAAGTTTTTTAAGTGTATTTTCACCCATGATTTTTTAGGTTATACAAATAATATTCTTTTTGTTTTCATAATTATGATTTCATGAAGGATGGCTTCTAGGATGTGTCATCTTGTTGCAATTTTTAGAAATAGAACAAATAAAGAAAATCTAAAAAGTCATTTATTGTTTTAGTACAACATATAGGGGTGAGAATCAAACTCACAAGTTTATAATTATAGATATATGTCAATTACTGCTAAACTATGCTCGTTTTTGATAAAAAGTGATTCGGATGATATTTAAAGCTTATAATCTCACGTATTTCAAAGCTGGGTTGGAACAGAAGTGTACACATTTGGACTTTTTTTCATAGTTAAATGGAGAAAACATTACTTGAAAAATAAATTCATCTCAATCATCCTGCTCTTTTTTTTTTAACTACAAAAATATTACCCTAATAACATTGGAAAATGTGTTATATTTTTATTACTTAGGGAAAATAATTAACTAAAATGATACACTTTCCAATATAAATATCGCTAAGTGTTAAATTGTATCTATTTTTTTCTTTGAGATTAGAAGTTAAAATTCTCATTTTTCCACATTTTGTTCACATCTTGTTCTACTAAAAAAATTGAAATAACGCGAAGTTAAAATATATATGTTTCAAATTATTAAAAAAAAACTGAAGTATATTTTTTTAAAGAAAATAATACTAATAATCTATCAGACGGTAAAAAATTAAATAAACAAATTTGAAGTTAAACAAATTTATCCGAGCAGTGCACAATTCTCATAACGGATAGAAACGCTCTCTCAGTTCTTGCGCGCCAAGACAAGAAACCTATTGCTCTCCCGCTATCTGTTCGTGATTCTTGAAACTTTCTCCGATTTCGATCAACGATTCTGCCTCGCACCGCAGCATTCCGCAAGAGAACCAAGAGTTTGATGAAGAAAGCCTTCGAGTTATCCACGCTCTGCGATGTTCGGACCTGCGTTTTGATCCATGGCCCTGCTCCTCCACAAGATGGTGATTGCTCGGCAGTGGAATCTCACACGTGGCCTCTCAATCGCGAAGAAATCGAAGGTATTATCCGGGCCTATAAGACTAGTTATTTTCAGAAACCATTGATGAAGTCTTTCGATTTGTACGGTTATTTCTCCGATCGTATGAAGAAAATCGAAGCAGAGAGGGCTAAATTTCGCAATGATGCTGAAGATATCAAGTGCCCGAGTTGGGACGAGCGGCTTGAGTGTTTGTCCGGACATCAGTTGCGGTTGGTCATGGAGGATTTGGGTTCGAAGAGTGAAGTTGCAGAGGGAATGATTGGTTTTATGGAAGGAGTATCCGCAATTGATTTCATTTGCGGATCAACCGAGAATCAAACTCCGAATACTGAAAATTCAACCATTGAGGGAGCATCTGCAACTGATTTCATTGGCGGACCAACCGAGAATCAAACTTCGAATTCTGAAAATTCAACCATTGATTCACAATGGTTCCCTTTCCATGATGGGTTACAAACCGAGGAAGCTCTTTTGATGATGCCTGATCATGATTTCTCCAACTTATTATTTGGCACAAACGGAGTTGACTACACTTATGAACATCTCCTCTCGAACGAGATGATGATGGAGAACAACAACATGGGAGAATTTCAATCTGCAGCGCCTCTCCAACCAATTTTGCCACTGTCGTATTTGCAATGTGCCTCAGATTATTCTCAAATGATGAACAATGCTTTTAGTGTGGTAAATGATCATCCCTTGGATTATAGCGATTTTGAGTATCTGATGTCTGATTGGTCTTGATTTTGATTCAGGCCACTGCTTACTGATTGATTTTTTGTAGTTAATAATATCGGTAACAAATTTAGGACATGAGAGTATTCTCACTCTCTCTTTTTTGTGAATGTAATAATCATAGTCTAATTGGAAATGAAATATCAGTATGAAATTCCCTTCTTTACTTTGTTGTTTTGCAAATTGTCTTCATAGTCGCTGCCATTTGTGTCATTGCTGCTTCCTTCGTCCTCTCACACTTGTGGCTGCTGCAAATCGTCTTTGTGTACTTTTCTTTTCTCATAATCTTGTGAAATATAGCATCTTTGAATTTGTCTCTGTATTGATTTGTCTGGAAAATCATTTCTCCATTTGTCTCTATATCGTTCCAACATTCTTTGGAAAGCCATCCTATAATTTCGTTTTGTGTGTTCTTCGACGGTCTTAAGGCACGGGAATTACATCTACTGCACTTACAAATCACATACCAGCTTTTGTTATTGACTTTCCCAAATTTAGAGTCCTTGATGTTCATGGCAAATCTTAATTTATTAAAGTTATTAAAGTCATGATTTTTATTTAGTTCTGTTTTTCATTTCTGTGCATTTGACCTATATAGGAGTTGTGATTGCGATATTTAATCATGAGACTTGGAGTTGGAGGTGAGTCTCCACTGGTTTTGCTTACATTGATTTTTACTAATCAAACTCCGATGCATTTTCATCACTAACTTGTCTTTACTTGTAGTTCTGATTTACATGTTGCTCTAAAATAATTTGGATCTCTTTCTAAATCATATTTTAGAACAGTAGAAGATCTAAGCACTGAATTCTTATCATCTTTCAACGTATAGATAGCATTGTTTGGTAATCTTAATCATTTTCAATTTCCATTTGTTCGCTTACGAAGTCCTTTGTTTTTTTTTCTTTTATCTACAAAAGAATAATACTTTTTATCTAATAGGTTATCATGTTAAAATGCTCTGTTAGGGCATGCATTTTTCTATTTGACGAATGTATGTTATGCTAGTGTTGAACATTATAGTTTAATTTAGTTTTATTTTCATACAGTATGTAGTTCAATATATTCTATCACATTTGAAGAGATATGGTTCAAAACTTGTCTTGCTTTTGATTATGGTTTTTGAAGATTTGATTATCATCTCTAAGTGTGGAATTTGGAGACTAGTAAGACTTTCTCCCATTGGATTTATTTCATTTTCTTGAAATCTATACTTGTTTTTTCGCATTTCTATTATTATTTTGTATCTTAAACAATAACATAGCTTGCAATTGAATGATTGATTGATGATCTTGTGAGCTGTCACATGATTTGTCTTGAGCGACAATCTTGAAGTCATAGTTTCTTTGATTGGATCAAATTTTATTGTGCAGTAAATGCAATCTAAGATGGTTGGCACCATTTTTTGAGCTTTAAGCTTTTTGATTCTGCAAATGGCATTATTCAGAGCAAAGGACATTCTTACCTAAAGGCGGTTGAACTTTTGCTTCTAATCCTACTCACATTTGCATTGTTGGGAGTGTAACCGGGAGTTGGAATTTTGATCCCCTATACCTAAGGGCACCTGCACCCACCTCAAGACTTGGAACCAGGAGACATAAATGGTTTTTGGTATTAAGCTCACCAGAAGGTTTGAACTTGGGACCTCTAAGCTAGTATGACCAAAAGATCCCAAGCCCTTGCCGACCGGACTGCTCCTGGGAGGTAGACTGATTTGTCATAGTTAGTATTGTCAAAATTTAAAATGATAATTTTGCAGTACCATGATGAATGGATTATTTTTTTTAACTCTTTTCTGAATCATTGATGGAACTGAAACTAGTAATTCATAAATCTATTAGTTCAACACATTGACTTTGATATCATATCCTGTTATAGGATGGACACACCAGATTGCAGAAAATCAAAATCCTGATGTGAAGGCTACTGAAACAGCTGCAATCCATGTAAGTCTTCCCTGTCCCTCATATTCGAAGTGTTTTGGGTTTGTTTTTAGAATCTGGAGGCAGTTTCATTTGTAATGGAACATCATTCTTTTCATTTTCTTCACCAATATATATTGTGTTCTTTTTTACAACATACATATATGAGAGCTGAGTTCATTGGCTTAAACTTGGTGGACAAATGGAGGGAAAATGAAAGAAATAAGGTTGTTTTTTAGTTATTGGTTAAATATAGATTGACTGAACGCAGAAAGCCTTCCACTGGCAGGCGATCGTGTTTTTCACAGGATTTCTCGTTACTCATGTCAGTATTCTCACTTCTGATATCTCCAGGTGTTGTCACCAAAAACCTTTCTCGATTGACAGAACATCCCGTTACTGACACTTGAAAAAGCTGCTTTCAAGGTCTCGTCGTTTCGGTGAATCACTTGAGCCCCGATACATTTTCGGTGCCATGAAGCTAGACCAGTGAGCTATTACACTTTCTTCAAATGATGGCTGCTTCCAAGCCCACCTCCTGATTGTCGTCGCTCGATCACTTCCTTTTCCACCAAGTGATTGCTTAGGGACCTTAGCGTACGATCTGGGCTGTTTCCCTCTCGACTTTGGATCTTAGTTGTTACGAGTGGTGAATTATGTTGATAAAAACATTGGATATCTTTGATTGTGCTACTTTTTTGTTGGGGTTGGCTTTCTTGTCCAGTAAAAGAATGAAGAATGGTTGAATAATCTTAATGTCTTGCAAACTTCATTGTTATTTTTCTCCGATTGTCATGGGTTATTAAATGAAGTGGGTTCTTGCTTTTTAATTATTTGAATTTCATTGGTTCGCTGTTTATTTATTTAAAATTAAAAAAAATCTTACGAAATAAACAAATATTGATGTCAATTCAAATTGTCCATACACTTTAAAATTTTAATGACATATGATATGTACATAAATTTGATCTAGTAATTTTTTTTTTGACAGAATAAATTTGATCTAGTAGATTGTTAAAGTAACTTGTTTTTTGTTTTTTGTTTTCTTGTTTTTTTATAAGCTTAGGTAAAATTTTGTTAGGAAATTTACAGGTCTATAATGAAAAACACCAATATTCTAACAGCATTTCTAAATTTCTCTCATGAACTCTCTCTCTCCCCTCTCCACCATTATATTTAGATCACGCTTCACTCATCCTTCATCTACCGAAAAGACAAAAACTCGATTTCGTATTTTGGCTCTCATTTCTAAATTCTTGATTTATCGGTAATGACCATACGACGCGGTCTTTTCATTTTCATCTACTTCGTCTTACTTACAATGTCTTCTCCTCCCACACTCAGGGCAACATCCAGAACGATGATCGCATCAACAAGAAATAATATAATTGCTTTCAATGAACCACCTCCTCCTGGTCCAAGACATTCATCTTCCTTGAATCTACCTTCGGTTGACAACGACAATCTAAAGCATCCTAATGAAACGAGTGCAGGAGCTCCAACGTCGTCATCAACATTGAAAATTTATCAGCCCAAAGGACCGGTTCGGTGGTCTGCTCCCAGCCCACTCCATAATCGCTAAAACATAAAATGTAAAACGAAACATCGTATAATAAGCGCAGTTACTCATTTGTTGTTATTATTTCTTACATATTTAAGTGTCATTTATGAAGTCTTTGTTTGAGGATTCCAAAAGAATTTACTACCACAAACTGTGTGCAGCCAAATTTAATTTATTTTTGAATTATTCATCAATTCGAACTTCATGTTAACAATATAAAATATAAAAGTGGTTAAATCAAAATAATATGTTTGCAATACTTCACGAAGAACTCAAAGGGTACCATGGTCGGCACGAAAAATGATATCTTTATAATTAGGCAAAAATAAAAGGATCATAAGATTTAAAATACTTTTCAAAGATCCGTGTTTTTTAATATAGTATAGATATATTTTGAAAATTATGCTTCTCAATCAAATTTCTCATTAGTATTTTTTGAGAGCTTAATGAAGTTATAGTAATTTTAAACTGTTGTGCTGTAGCTTTATATGATGGGGAGAATTAATTTAGATTTGTGTGAAATTAAAAAAATTATTAAATAATTTAAATTTGACCCGACGGATTTAACCTGATGGGTTGTTATTCATAAATAATATTATTTGTCTTGTTAATATATATAAACTATTGTATCTTTTTACTCCAAAAACAACATGTTGTATTGAAACAAAAATACTTCGTACATGATCCTAAATTCTAAAAGTCTAAACTCTAAACTCTAATATGGTGACACGACCAGGTCTTTCGATAGATCCATATCTACGACAAGCAGGAATTTTACGGTGTTTCACGACTTGATTTTATCCAATTAGACTAACATTTGATCACAGTTCTCGTGGAGCATTGGTGACAAGAGATACTTCACCTTCTGTATGGAGAGTGTATTGTAACGTTATAGGATATCGTCATCCAATTTGGGCTACCTGTAGATGAGACAGCTGTTATTTGATCATTTCAGCACAATTGGCGGGATGTGTGTACCGAATTATTAGGAGTTACACTACGAGAAGGGGATTTAATTGCTGGTTGTCTTAGCTTGCCACGGTTGGCTAACCAGTTTCATTGTTTTGCTCATTTAGCAGAGGATGTTGATCCTTCTCGATTATCAAAATGCGCAAAAATATAAATTATATTAAATTTAATTTTTGCCCATAAACTGTAAGGTTTATTTTATTCTGATGAATGAAATTTCAAGTCATGTGTTTTATTATTTCTTTCTAAAAATAATTGGGTGAGAAAATTATTGCTACTTTAAAATTATTTAAAATTATTTAACATATAGATATGGTGTGAGACTTAGAATAATTAGTGATTAAGTTAAATAATTTGAATCTATGAGAGAAAATAATTATTCAAGTGATTTTGATGGTAACAAGAATACATTATGAGAAAGTAATTATAAAAAAGAGTAAAATAATAAAAATAATATTATTAAAATAAAATAACAAGAATGGTAGGTAGTTGAATGAATGAATTAATACTATAACAAATCAAAACACAATATTATTAATATAATTTAATAATAAAAGAATAATAGTATAAAATAATAAAAGAATAAAAAAGCATATTATTAAAAGAAGTAGTAAAAAAAAAGCAGTTGGAGGAAATGGAAAAAAATAATAAAATAAATAAATGTGAGACGTAGTCATTCAACCCGCACCTACACCCTAAACACCGTTAAATATTAATATTTAATGGTTTTAAGAATGAACTTATAATTTTTTTGTACCAAAATAGTACTTTAATCTATAAATTAAAATTAGTTGGTATATTTTTAAATTTATAATACAAAACATATATTATTTTTAACCCATAGCCCTCTCCCTATTTTCTAAATATTTTTTAAATAGATCCCATTTTCAAAAAGTCTCAATATTTGGGTTATTGTATCATCCTGCTATATTTATATGTTTCACTTGTTGGATTTTTTTCTACCACATCCTCTTCACTCTTCATGAAGTTAATGATTTGATTTCAATGACTTACATTTTTTTTATTTGCTCAGTACAATCTGTGAGGATGAGGATTCAAATTCACAACCTCTGATATATGTCAATTATCGCGAATCTATGCATGCTTTGACCAATGACTTAGGATGATAAACACTAAATTTGTAACCTACGATTTTTTTTGAACCTTTATGTAAAAGTAATTAATTAGTCAGATACAATTTATTTTAATTTTTTTATAATTCTAATTAAAGTTTGAACTCCTTAAAATCCAAACATAAAACATTATATTAAATTGAATATTTTGATTTTAAAACTTTGGAAACAAAATGAGACGTTTGTAATTATAATATTTTATTAAGACGATAAAATATCTTATCTAAAAAAAATAATAAGGATTATTAATTTAGTGAATTTATTCCTATATAAGGTAGACAATATATAAATTCAAGATTATATTTGAAATGAATGTAAACAATGTATAAATTTATTAAAAATAAAAGATTTTTTTTACACCGTCACAACTATATAGTTATGCATGTTTTATAAACATACCAAATAGATTATTATTTATATAAATTTTCATTGGTTATTTATTTAAAATTAAAAAAGAATCTTACAAAATAAACAAATATTGATATCAATCAAATTGTCCAAACAATTTAATTTAGGGCTTAATTAAACGGGGAAAATTTTATGAATCTACCACGATATAAATAATCTTAATTAGGGTAAATTGCATTGTACTAATGATTAAATTCTAAATAATTATTGTAAAATTTTAATGATATATGTACACAGATTTGATCTATCCCCCTCGAGTAGGTTGTTAAAGTAACTTATTTTTTGTTTTTCTGTTTTTTTTATAAGCTTAGGTAAAATTTTGTTAGAAAATTTACGAGTCTAGAATTAAAAACACCAACATTCTAACTGCATTTCTAAATCTCTCATGGACTCTCTCTCTCCCCTCTCCACCATTGTGTTTAAATCAGGCTCCACCCATCCTTCGTACACCAAAAGACAAAAACTCGATTTCATGTTTGGCTCTCGTTTCTGAATTCTTGATTTATCGACAATGGTCGTACGACGCGGGTATTTTCTTTTCATCTACTTCGTCTTGCTTACAATGTCTTCTCCTCTCACACTCATGGCAACATCCAGAGCGATGATCGCTTCAACAAAACATAATATAACAGCTTTCGTTGAACCACCTCCTCCTGGTCCAAGACATTCAACTCCCTTAAATCTACCTTTGGTTGGCAATGAAAATCTAAAGCATCCTAATGAAATGAGTGCAGTGGCTCCAACATCGTCATCAACATTGAAAGTTTATCGGTCCAAAGGGCCGGTACTAAGCTCACACATTATAATTAACTTTACTCCTTTGTTATTATTATTTCTTACATATTTAACTAAGAAGTGTGATTTATTTGAGGATTCCAAAAGAATTTACTACCACAACTATTTAATTTATTTTTGAATTATGTATCAATTCAAACTTCGCAGGTCAAGAATATAAAATATAAAAAGTGGTTAAATCAAAATAATATGTTTGTAATTGATGAAGAATTATCCAAAGGGTACGTCTACAAGAAAATAATATATTTGTAATTCTGCAAAACAAAAGGTGTAAATATAGTATCGATATATTTGTAAATTATGCTTCTAAATTAATATCTTCTTGAAGTTTTTCGTCCATCCACTATTTTCTTTTACAACTTTTTATAATCTTTTCCTTTCTTATTGTGAGAAGAGACGATAATGCATGTCGCAAAAAAAACAAGCTTATCCAACGATTGTAACAGTGAAATTTTAAACGTGCATTGTGTTGGGTGTGTAAGTTGATTACAAATAAAGTCTCACATTGGCTAGAGAAGGGAATGATCATCAATTCTATCCCATTTTTGGGATAGCCTTGTCGTGGGTCGATAGTTCTACTCAGGTTTAGATTAAAACATCTTTGTTCTGGTAAGTAATGATCCATTTAGGCCCTAAATTTTAGTTTGTAACGATTTAGTCTATATACTTTTAAATTTGTAACAAGTCAATTCTTGAACTTTAGTATGTAATAATTTTAGTCTTGTAATTTAAAATTTGTTACAATTTTTAGTCTCTAAATCTTTTTTAACACGGTAATTGAATTCGATGAGTCAGTTCTAGTCGTAAACGTTTAGTTTCATCTAATTGAATTGTATCAATACATTCAGTTAGGTTTGTGAAAGATGACTCTCCAAGTGGCAAGAGAAAATGATGACCTCAGCATAGCCTCGAAAATGGCCGATGTCATGCAGTGTTCCAATGTAATGATTAACCTCTGTCAACCGTCGTCCTACAATGACGAAACCTATTTAACAATTCTTGGACCAATGTTCGATAACTTCTAAATAGACTCCACTTGTCAATAATATAAATAGGAAAGTCGTTTTCATATTCAGATATGTGTATGATCGATAGCTCGTCTTAAAAGCATCTTGGTTACATTGATCTTGAGGAACTTACTTTCTCTCTTTTGCAAATCACATGTTTTGACTTGTAACGTCACGTGAACATATCTTGGGATATATTCAATTTTCATGCAATAAAACTTTTAATTATTATTTATTTTGAGGATTTGTAGATAGTTAACTGTAAACTCGATTGTGTGTGGTGGGACAAAACGTTATTTTTCATGTTTGATTTGGACATTTTCTTTTACTTGATTTTTGTTAAATGAATTTTGTGTAATTTGTGGGCAATTTTGTAGGACGTTTTTCTAAATGAGTCTTGAATATGTATTAATTTTACTGCATATTCAAATTTCAGTTCGATGAATTAGAAGTTTAAAATTATTTAAACAATAAAAAAAATATTTGATTTTAAAATTAAAAAAAATTAACTAATTTTTGCAAACTATTATTTTTTAAAAGTTTTAAACGTTTTAAAAAAGACAAAATAAATAAAAAATAAATCAATAAAATTAGTGTTTAGAAGTTTAATTTCTAAAAGTATAAAACAAGAAACAAAATGAATATTGGAGCTTTTTAACTTTCAAGCGCGAAATTGAAATATTCGCGAGAGGAAAATGGAAATATCGCCCGAAGAATTGGATGAGAGTTTTTCCGTTTGATCAGTTAAATGGCGAATTGAAGAGTCGTTTCGTACTGCTCCTTCCTTCGCCGTTGGAATCTCTCGCATTTCTTCTTCTCCCGCTACATCCTCAAAGCAACGCATAACCGCTATAAAACAATCTGTTGTTTATTCAATTGGGTTTACTGAAAATTTTCAAATTTCTGTGAAATGTCATGGAATGAGGACACTCCATCTCTTGCTTCGTCTCTGAAAAAACAGCACCCGGAGGGAAAGAAGGGAAATATTGTTTGTTTCTTCTGCTGCAGAAATTCTATTCCCATTTTTGTAAGCATCCTTCCCTCTCACTTTTTTGCATTTAATTTAACTCACATGCTGTCGTAATCATAAGTTATTGTCTGCAATGTGTTCGATCATTTGGCAATTATGGTGGGTAGTTGTTTGAAGGTGCTGCCATTGTCTCTGTTTATCCATTTTCATGAATCGTATACTTTTCTTGATCTGGGTTGCCATTTTTTTGGGTTTTGGTTTCTGGGTTTTGAATTTGTTTGTTTTCCCAATGTGGGTTTCTTGATATTTTGTTTTTTTTTCCTTTAAATCGATTCTCCTCCTTGAGTTTTTATACCGTTTATTCTCCTTTTTCTTAGAATCATATGATTTCGACTTGATGTCTTGTTTGGTATTTGGTGTTTTAAGTGGTTAGTTTTCCTTACATGCTTGCATTTAACTTGAAGAAGTGCAGAATTTTCAATCAGTTCAGAGGTCTTAAAGAACTACATTTTTTAGTCTTAAGAACTAAATGTTGAAAGAGAAGGCAAAATCTTACTGTTTTCTTTGTAACTGGGGTATTGAGGCTCAACACTTATAATGCTGATGACTCATTCCTACTAATTATCGAGGAGGTTTTGCCCAATCTTAACCTAGAATTTTGGAGGGCATTCCAGACATCTGGGGTTTAACAAAATTTTGTACTTATAAACAACAGTATGGAGTATTTGGATTTGCATTTGTCCTAAAGAGCTATTTTACATGATTTTTGCTGGTTTGTTTCTCAATCTAGGAACCATTTCTTTGATTAGAGGAATTTCATTCTTTTTGAAATTGGTTTTTGAGTTTGCTCCTGTCTTAATTTGTGAGAAAACAAGGAGGGAAAATAAACATCTAGAATTCTTTAGTTTGTATCGTTGCAAGTATCTATAGCATCGGGCTCAAAATAAACTTCTCGAGTAAAATAAACTGTTCTACTGCAGGTGATGTTTTTAATAGTTAGATGCCCAAAAAATTGAAAAGCTTGAAGGTCTCAACCTTTGGTTTCTTCTGTGTTGTTTTACTTCCTCGGATAATTGATGGAGAATTTGCATGTMAATTCCAAAAATCTTGAAGTGTCATTTCTTTCTCTCTCTTTCCTACTTCTCTATCTTTGAAGTTATATTATGCTGAGATAGAATCTGAATTCTCATGAGAAGTTGGTCACTCACTGCAGCAAAAAAAATTGGTCTAAACATTTGCATACTTTGTTTTGCTTATTTTTGTTTTATTTTATCAACACTGATACCGATGTCTGGCTCATCAAAGAATGGGGGATCATTTTGTGCTGTTAGTGGATCGGTTGCTCACTGAATCAAACGTTGAAGCTACTATTGAGAGCAAAAACAGAATCCATCAGCCCATGGCCTCAACAAATGTAGATAATGTGATATCTTCCTTAAATATAGATGTCGATTCCATGTTGCCTTCAAGCAAATCTGTTGAGTGCAGAATTTGCCACGATGAGGATGTCGAATCAAACATGGAGACCCCATGTTCTTGCTGTGGCAGCTTGAAGGTTAGATTTAGTTTTGTTTATGACTCAACACCAACTGGTTTCACTGATAAAATCAAGATAGCTATTCTTGAATCTCTCTCTTCCAAATTTTACCCCTGTTTACATGATGATCTTCGAGATTTTCTGCATTTAGTTTTGGTATCCAACTTTAACTTTTCCCCAAAATATTTGCTCTTGGATTCTTTAATACGATAAAGCACTTGCAACTTAAAGGATAGAATCAGACTCATGTCACAGATTTAGGATCTTGTATCCTATTTCTTGTAATTTGATACAGGAGAACTATACTATTTCCTTATTCTTTGTTTGCATGTACTTAGGGTTCTATAATATGATAAAAACGCTTGCAACTTAGTTTGCATGTACTTATTATTAGATTGAAAGGATGGAACCAGACTCATGTCACAGATTTAGGACCTTGTATCGTATTTCTTGTAGTTTAATACAGCAGAACTATACCTAGTTTCTTTTCCTCTTTCTATCCTTAATTCTTTGTTGCGTTTGTTTAGATGGTTCACCCTGATAATTAGCTTCCAATTAGTGTTGATAATTGCAGTATGCTCATCGCAAGTGCGTACAGAGGTGGTGCAACGAGAAAGGCAATACAATGTGTGAGATTTGCCACCAGGTCTGTTGTTTTTATAAAGAATGTTTCTAATACATGGCTAATTTATGACAAAATGACAAACTATGTGTTAAACATACCTAATACCTCCTTTAGTTTAGCGGTGATTTAGAGTGAATTTAGGAATTGGATCACTTCTGCAAGGGTAAAAAGTGTATTTTTTTCCCATGAGAAACTAAGTTTCGTTGGGGAAATGAAATAATATGTAAGGACATACAAACATATCAGCCCAACAAAAAGAGGCACCTAGAGAAAGGGACTCCAATCCAAAAGAACAATATCTAACTAATAATTACAAAAAAAACCTTAGAAATGACTTTCCGAGGGAGGTATTAAATCTAATAAGCTCCCATACATACTCCCTGGATCTCTCAATCTCCTAAAGATTCTATGAACAACAAAATTCCTCCATCAGCACCTGACAATCCTTGTTACGAGCCCAAGACACCCCAAACAACTCAAAGAATCAATCCCAAATATCTTGAGTAAACTGACATCTTCACAAAACATAGTCAAGATCCTCCGAGGCACCTTTGCAAAGCACATTACGACCCCTAAAAGAAAGAATATCTCCGAGATTGACTTTTCCATGTAAGACTTGCCAAGCAATTTTTTATTTTTTATCTTTTTTTTGGAATCTTAACCTTCCTAAGCTAAGTAAACAACAGGGCAAAAAGGGGAAAGAGAGGGAGAACTCAACAAGTGAAAAAAAGAGCTATAGGAAAATCACTTGGACGGGCTAGGGGTCCAAACCTGAGAATGATTTCTCCCCCGACAAAAAGGAACGTCCCTCAGCAGAAGAAGCAAGGTAGAAACCTCCAAAATCTACATGTCCATCAAGGGTTGTCTAAGATGCAAAGAAATAGAAGTGCAACTTCACCTCAACGCTAAAACAAAGGCTGCTGAATTAACCTCATATTAGAAATGTGGTACAGATGAGAGAATAAAAGGCAGAGGGGTCTATTTACCTTATAGTAAAAAGTGTTTTTAACAAAATCACTTAATCACAACTAGGGTTAATTGAGAGGGAATGGGTTCAAACCCCATGATGGCCACCTACCTTCGGAATTAGTAATTCTTATGTGTTTCCCGGCACCAAATGTAGTAGGGTCAAGCGGTTGCCCCGTGAGATTAGTCGAGGTGCGCATAAGCTGGTCCGAACACTCACGAATATAAAAAAAAACAAAAACAAAAACAAAATCACTTGATCACTTTTCAAAGTTTTTAGCATTTGGTATGATAATCATAAGTTGATTTTGAAAATTCTAAAAATACTAAAGAACACTTAAATGCTTTTAGGAGAAATGCTAAATTAGTTCTTTCAAAAGTGTTCATAGAAGAGGTATTTTTATTTAAAAGTATTATTTTCTAAAGACATCTGAAACTTACCATTTACATGGTATCAGAGCAAAAAGTCTTGAGTGTGAACCTTTGCAATGTCATTTTCTCTCCGATTAATACTAACAGAAATTTGTTTGGTCTCATGCTAATTTCTGAACTCGTACCACAATTGTTAAATATAACTTGTTCAGTGGTTGTTTAACACTATGTAAGTAAGAAGAGTTTTTTTCCTTATACTGCAGCAATTTAAGCCCGGGTTTACAGCACCTCCCCCTGTATTTTATTATGGAGGTATTGGTTCGCCAATACATTTCAGGTAAGCCATTTACCTCTCCCCCTATAATTCATTTTATTTAATTTCAGCTGCCAGTTTCTCTAGTTTATCTTGTATGTTCAATTCTTGCTCATTCTTTTTTTTTAAACACTATTGATATTGGTATAACAATGCTGTCAAATTGTGGTTTTAGGGGAAATTGGGAGATGTCTAGACTGAACCTGCATGTATCTGCAGGAATGCCTGATCACGATTATGTTGATTCTGACATTGATGATTTCCTCGCTCCCTCTCCGAGAAGCGTGTTGTGCTGCCGCATAGTTGCAGTTATTGTATTCCCTCTCTCCTAAAACCATTTAGGTGTACTTTAGTGGTTTTAGAATTAAAAAATAAAAGATTGAAAAAATATTACATGTTTTCACTTGTTGATTCCTTTTCATCCACAATGTGAAGTTACCAAAAACGAATATAAATTTCGGTTTAAAACATATTATCATTCTTAGTTATTCTATTTTAAGCATAAACTTTCAAATATTTTGTTTTAATTCTTAAATTTTCTCCGTTAATTCTTTAGTAATTTATTGAACATAAACCTTAAGTAGACATATCTTATATTCCTTTACCCTAGTGTGTCTACATGAACAAATGTTAGAAGTCATATGTAACGGGAAGAACGAAAATAGTTTTATTCCAAGTTAGGAGATACAATAGCATATGTTTGAAACTGCTGACATATTTGTATGTTGCAGTTTATCGTTCTCCTCCTCTTACGCCATACGCTACCAATTATAATCAGCGGAACTGGAGAGTATTCATTGACATTGTTAATGGTAAGCTCGTTGCCCTGTTTCCTTTTCTACTTGTCCTCCCCCTGGCCTCCTCCATTGTTGAGACCAATGGAGAATCAGAACTTCATTTGCTGTATGTTTCAGTTGCTCATCTTGAGAATTGTTGGGATTCTTCTGCCAATATATGTCATGGTTAGGGCGTTTACTTCCAGCCAACGGCGTCGCCATTATCAGGTTAGTGACACTGCTATATCCCGATTCATTTCGAACAACATTTCGTCAAATGAACTGCTTTATTTTTAATGGAGTTGATGCGTAATAAGGTACTTAACCATGATTTATTAAACCGTGAGGTCTAATAGTAGATTATTCCTCTAAATTCTAAATTCTTACAACATAACCTTTAAAGTTTGTGAAATACTTTAACAACAATGATATATATGTGTTGTAAGAGAGTTTATATTCCTGAAAATTGGTTATGGTTTTCTATCCTCCTTGAGCTAGATGTCGGGTAGTTCACATTCACCGAATTGACGTTTGAATTTCCTTGTATTTTCTGGTAGGATCCATTAGATGATGAAAGTGACTCGACGAACCATCCTCAACCACGCTTCATCCACTTGAGATAGTAATCCCTCGGCCCCGTTTCTGATATGATGGAAATGATGCTATCGACAAAAAGGAAGGCCATCAATGGCATTCATAGCAAGGAAGTTACGAGGTACGAGTCTGCATCCGGTCCTTGTAGCAAGACACAACCCGGTTTCATCATTTGTGAGGGAGTCAGCAGAAACTCCTTTGGTTAAGAATCTAATTTCTTGTGCAATGGAATCATTGGCTCGAGTCTCTGATGTATAAAAGCATGGAACAGTTAGTAGGGGATTTGATCTGTATATTAAGTATTGATTTCAATATTCTGTGTATGATCTATAGCTGCCAAATTTGCCCTCGAATCTGTTAAAAAATGGTGTAATTTGAAACTGGCTTGGGTCACTCACAAAAAGCTAACGTGCAAGTTAACAAAATTTAAACATCTAGAATCGAATAAATTTAAGAAGAGATTTAAATCTACAAGTAAACTCAGTCGAGGTCAATATATTTAACTTTTAATATAAATTCACATAGTATTGTGTAAGATTTCAGTTTAAATCTGAAATAAAATGTTGTAATACATTCTATAAAATAAAAATTAAATAAAAAAAGAGTTAAATATCATTTCGTTTTATCTCAAAAAGAAAATTCCATTTYGAAGTATAAAATTAATATATATTTATAAAAATAAAAATAAAAAGATCACAACTTAATTTTTTTTTTCAAATATACCAAAAATTTGGCCTTTTTTTAGAGTGTTTTACATTACATCTAGGTTTAATTATAATTTGGATTATAATATTTCTGAATTTTAAATTTATTGTTATGTTTTTTTTTATTTATGTAAATCTTAGACGAATTTTATATCAAAATAGAATGTAAACATGTCAAAGCGATCATAGTTCAACCGAATAGCCTCCAACAATGAGATTGTGAATTCGATCTTCATTCCAACATGTTATATTAAAGAAAAATAGGAGGTAAATATAAATATAAATAATAATAATAATAATATTTAAAAAAAATTTAAAAAGTCAAATTCACTATTTTGTTCAATGTAGGCAAGAAAATATACATGTGACCTTGCCGTTTACTTTCAGCAAGAAGAGGAAATTCACAAACAAGCAAATTTTAAAATATAAAATAAATAAGGTTTTAAATCCTGGTCTCTAAAATTTTAACTCAATTATATTTTTGTCTTTGAATTTTTAAAATATTTATTTTAGCCTTCAAATTTTAAGAAATTAATCCTTTTAAAACTTTCACATCGTCTATCTCAAAACTTTTTTTAAAACGTCAATTCTAGTGATTGAACTTTAAAAAATAAATATTTCTGTATCTAAAATTTGTCTACTTAATTTTCGATTCCAACCTATATAACTTGAATACATGCTTACGCAGTAGTATACCTCTTCGACATGTTAATAATTATTATTTTTTAATTTATAAAACAGATATTACAAAAATTTAATAACCAAAATAAAATGAGTAATTTTCAATAACATATTTAAACCAATAAATAAACAGAACAAATAATTTGGATCTGAGCAGATCAGATCCGGGTTCAATTCATCGTCTTCATCCATTTCGGCCATCGCCATTTTCGAAGCTCCTCCTTCGAACGGTATTGTATCAATCCTTTTTCGCTCTTCAATCCTTCACCTTCTCCATCTCCATTACAATACGCTCAACAATAAGCTTTGTGTTTTTTTTTTTCTCTATTCTCTGTATATGCTTCTTTATCCATTTCTCTCTTTTTTTTTTTTTGATTGGTTGATGCATAGATGTATTTCTGATTGTTATGTAATTCGATGAAGTAATATCTGGAATTAAAAAAGTCCACTGTGATCTGTGTTTCCGAGAAATCGAATGTGATGTATGTATATCGTCGGGTTTTTGTGGTAATTGATATCGATATTGTCTGTTTTAGCTGTATGCTGAGTCGGTGGTTGCCGCTAGGTAGGGGAATTGGTTTTTGTGGTCTATGTTCAGTCTTGGGGAGTGTGATCTTGTTCCTTAGTTTTGAAGTTAATTTGGTGATATCAAAGAGCATGGCGTGAATGGGTGGAAACATGTATCCATGAAGACAGATTTTCTGAACAATGTGGTCTTGTTGGTGTTTTTTTTTTCTTTCTTTTTTTTTATTACTTAATGATGTACTCTGCATCTTATAAAGAGTACTCTGCATAAATTATTTTTGTTATCTAACATGTTGCTATGCGTTCTTGTTGTTTTTTACCCCTTCCTTATTACCGTTAGATTCTCTTTTTCTAAAGTTTTTCTGTATATATGATGGCATGAGGAAGGTTGTGTGGTAAAACTTCCTGTTCCTGATATGGGATACGCTTCCTATTGATGAAATACTCTCATATTTAGCGCTGGCATATTCTTGGAGGGTGGCCTCCCTCCTAAAGAAATTGTTGTCCATCTCTAAATTGCAGCTCTTAAATTTTGGGTGGGGTATCAAACCATTAACTTTTAGGATTGTATTGGGTGTCTTATCCACTGAGTATAACTCGGATTGGCTATTGCTACTTTCTTGAAGACTATGAGTGACAGACGCTGCCAGTTCATTTGTCCCTTCCTTAGAATTAGTTCTAATGATCCGTTGAATTTTACTTGCAGGCTGTGATTTTATATTTATTGGAGTTGCTTTTAATTGAGATTTTCTAGTTAATAATGTCTGAGCATATCAAAGAGACGGAACGAGTGGACGGAGATGGACATGTTGGATCTGAAAAACCTATGCCATCATCTCAGATGGAGGTCTGTAACGTTACTCATATGCATTTTCTACAATAACGTCTAAATTTTATTGCAAATTTACCAATTTGTAGAATTTGGTGACTAATTTTCTCTATAGGAGGAAGTTATAAAGAAAAAATATGGAGGAATTGTTCCCAAGAAGCCACCACTCATTTCTAAGGTGATTTTTCTCTTGTAAAAAATTGTGTATCCTTTCAGTATGGTTTTCACTTTTCAATGAGGTCCATGCATCCTTCCACATGGGTTTCTGAAGTTTTTGAATCTCAACTTCAGGATCATGAACGTGCTTATTTTGATTCTGCTGATTGGGCATTGGGAAAGGTATGTCTATTGTATACTTATACCGCCATTTTTACTTGATCCTGAAATTAGTTCACATAACTTCACCAATTGGCTAACTCCTCCATAATTTGGCTGACACAGCAAGGAGTCGAGAAGCCTAAAGGACCTTTAGAAGCCCTGCGGCCGAAATTACAGGTTGGTGAATAATATCCTTATTGACTTCATCTCAAGTATTTGACCCTTGATTTTACTTTAGGGCAGAGATCTTGAGTAATAACACGTACTTAACAGAGTGATTGTGCATCTAAAAAGTTTGACCTTGACCTCTTGAATGAAAAATTAGAGCATGACAATTTTAATTTCCAGAAACATGTGGGTAAAAGAAAGAAATATTAAAAAAAATTAAGAGATATGTGAAGTGAAGAAGGGATAAGTGAGAGAAAGTGTATGGGTAGAGATATGTTAAACAAAAGTGAGGACAGATGAGGAAAGAACGGATCCAGAGAAATTAGTAATGGAAAGAATGTTAGAAAAAGAATTAGCAAGAGAGAGGTTAGAAATTAGTATTTAAAAAAAAAATAATAAGAAGAATAAGAAGAATCATTGTAGCCTCCAAGGGGCAGCCCTGTTCGTAAGTACATGCAGTTTGTGAGTAACGCCCGCCCAAGAGATCGCGTATTCGAACTTTCAGGTGTGCTTAATTGGGTATTATTAGCTGGTACGGGTAACATACACTTCTTCTTCTCTTTTTTATGATCCAAAGTTAGAAAGATGGTGGCATTACTTCTTACTAGTTTTGCTTAGATCCAACTTCCAAGGATTACACAGTACTTTGACAAGGCATCTTTTGTCATACAAAAGATTTAGACAAATATTGTGAAATGATGTGTTAGTCCTTTAATTTCTGTTTTATTTTCTTTGTCGTATTATTACAATCATCAAGTAGGAGTAGGACTTATGTCATTGCAATTTTTTCTCTGCTGCTTAGCCAACGCAACAGCAAACAAGATACAGGAAGTCTCCTTATGCTCCATCAGATGATGAAGGTATGATCTAAACCTTTTGCTAAAAATAATACCCCCCCACGCTGATAATAATAATAAAAATAATGACCCAGACTGATATGGTTGCGGTATATATATATATATATATATATATATATATATATATTATGCAGATGGAGGAGCTGCTCCAAATGAATATGCGAATTAGAATGAATGAACGACTGCTGCTTGTGTATGTTGTAGCTGTTTGATTGTATCTCAGTCCTGTTGAATACCTATCTAGGTATGAGCAATTTTCTTTTGTTTTTTAGAATACAATTGCTCGGGTTCGGGATATGTTATTGTGCCTTCATTAAGAATATATATCTATTGTATGGAGCATGGTAACTACATTGATCTATTTCATATTTGTCATTGATGACATAGATTATGACATTTTATGAGTCAAATTCAAGAATGTTTTAGCAGATTTGTGAGAAATATATAGCTTGATCTTCTTCCTTGCTGGCTAGCAATTGTTCAGTTGGGTTTTCTGTCTTTCAAGGATTGCAAAAGTAGTTTTTTTCCTTCCCAGATCAACAATGGCAAACATCGATTTCAATCTTAGAGATGGTAATAGGTGCCTTACTCGAGCTATGCTCGAATTGGCTCCAAAAATTAGTTTTGAGTTTGTCTTTTAATAAAATAAAATAAAGTCGTTTTGGTAACATTTCTTGTATTGTGTACTTTTTGCTTTCATCCTACCTCTAAATTCAGTCCTTCAAACTTGAGTATCGTGTTTATTTAGTCTTGAACTTTAATAATGAAAATTATGTTTATTGAAAATATCATGTCACAATTTGGGAACCTACAATGAGATAGTAGAAATATCTTAATCACCAAGCTATACCGTTGAAAAGTGATAAATAACATGCTTATTATGTTATTTAGTTGTTTGCTGCATCATGCCAATTTATTTCAAATTAAGCTAAGTATGCCAAGCCAATGTTTCGTTAATATTGATATTTGAAATTATTTGAAACTGTCTTCCTACTTATATTGCGAATTTTTTTAGATAAATCCCTTGAAGAATTAGAGTTTTAGTTTAAAGCTTAGTAACGAAATTTTAGAAAAAGTTAAAATGTTTTTGGACCAATTAAATCCATTATCCAATCATCATAGTTAATGAACTAAGTTTATAATTTTATCTTTATTTTCTTTAATATCTCTTTAAGTTTTATTCTAGAAATTATAAATGATATATCCAAGTTGATAGATTTTCATCTCCAATTTGATACATTTTCATATCCAATCTTCTTTTTTTTTTTACAACAAATGTAATTTCTTTTTAAATTTTTATACTAATAATTTACTATATTGGTTATTTATAGTTTAATATTCTGTCAACCAATACTCCAAATGTTACATTTTAATACTGTTTTAAAATATTAATGAAAAGTCTCGGATTTATATAGAGACATTCACATTTCTGCCTATGTTAATAGGTTCGATATCGACATAAAAGGTGAAAAGGTGAATTGACATTTCTATAGTATCACACAAAAAAATTTATTTAAATATTGAAATATTTATTTATCATTTTAAATATTTATCATAATTTTTTGTTTTTGTAAAATGTTTCAAAAATATCCCAACATTTCCATAAAATTGAAACTTTGACATTTTTGTGTTAAAAATAAAAAGACTTCCACATGTCCATGGACGTGAGAAATTTTTTTTTTCTCTCTTTTAATGGATTGAGGCTGTACGATTTAATATTAATTGGCATTAAACTATCACAGTTACTGTTTAATAATTTTCATATAATAATAATTGCAGAAATCTTTTACTTTAATATAAATTTTATTCTCTGTTTGTTAATTAGAAAGAATTGATATAAATTTTCATTTTGGCATTCTTTGAGATTTATCTTGATCGAGCAATTTAATAAAGGAAAAAATTGCTTTCATCCTTACATTTCAATAAACGTAATTTGAACTTTGGAGCAAGGAAGGTTATAGAAAGAGTAATAAATCTACCTTCATGTAATTTACTCTTTAGATCAAAATAATTACAAAATGACAAATAAATCAACATATTCCAAGGCTTCATTTATTTAATGAGAATTAGGCAAACTGAGAATAAAAGTGAATCAAAACGAAAAATTGTGGAACTAAATAAAAATTTTGATCTTGTACTTACTAAAACTATTTTAGAATGGAGTAAAAAAAATAATAATAATAATTTAAATTAAATGTTGGACTCGTTACACAAGTTGAGATGAGATGAAATGAAAGTACTAAAAAAATTTGGAATTCACAAATTTAAAAACCGAAATGAGTATTCTTACCTTTTGAAGGGATATTTCATTTTCTCAAAATTAATAGTATGATTCTTGATTCACATTAACCATGAAGAAAAACTTGATTCACATTCTCTCGTTACAAATATACGGTGGAGAAAACTGTAAATAAATTCATGTTTTGAGATTGTCAAATTAGAAATAAAGATAATGTAATAAACAAATGAATAAGGAATATCTATACTCAGTGAGTGCCAAGCGAAGGCATTACTACTCTTGAGGACAGGTTCAATGATTCATGTTTTCTAATCGTCGATTTGAATTAGCCCGACAACTGTCAAAATCATTCGACACTTTCTTGAGATCTCAACATCACACAGACATGAAGCTACTATTCAGTAATTTTCCAATTTACTCCCACCGTAATTACATCAGTTCCCTAAGCAGACGCTAAAAAGCCTGAGAATGGTTCAAAGTTTTACACAACACAAAGTCCTGTGGTTTTTCAAGCAAAAACATTAACTCATGGGGGGGGCAAACTCTGGTAGTCTCAAACACTACAAATCCATAATTTTGTGTAACATACAGAAATGACTTCAAATCCATGATGACAGCCAGCACAATCAGTTCCTAAGAAATGCCACCGTGGCAACGCGAGATCCAACAGATCCTCCGAAGGTGAATGTCGGGTACGTACCAACATGCCCTAGGTACTGAAACGTAGGCAATTCTCTTTGCGTTTCACTGGGTGACTCCGTTTCCGCAGAGGAATTAACCCTTCTTTGATTGAAGTTCTCAACTTCTTGCACAAGTTCATCTTTTGTACTGTTACAGGAAGTTATCACCTACAGTAGTAAGCAGTGGCATGTCAGTCCCAAGTTGGATTGCAGTTTCACAAAAGAATGCAATGTCTATGCACCAGTCTAAGAGAGAATGAAATATCAAACATGCTAAAGAACAAAGAAGGGAGATTGAGAAAAATCAGGGGAATTTTCCTTTTTTAATACATGTATTTTTTTTTAATGACCGTGAATGTTTGGCCAGTTCACAAGCACCTCAGTTAATGTCACAGGGGAATGAATTCGAATTCACATGATGCTACCAACAATTTGGATCTTAAAACTCATATGATTTAAATATTTCGTATAGATAGCCACCAGTTTGAACACATTCCCCAAAATTACTTTCACTTGTCTAATGAAATCACTCGGTCAACTTATGTTGGTTAATTCTGCCAGATTTGTGAAAGAGCGAAAATAAAGGCCTTACCAATATCCCACCGGGAGACACCAGTTTTGATACCGACTCCCAATACATGATCCTGGAAATTTAAAAAAACCCAAAAAATTCCAATTACTTCGACCTTCTATTCAGAAATATGTATCAAACTGAAACTAGAAAAATCACATCACCAATTATCTATTTATATGCTGCCCATGTAAGTATTCTACAAGAATTGATGATAATTGTAACATTCAGAGGGTTGCCATCTAGTGGCTATGTGAGCGCACAACTGTATTAAAGAATGCCTACATTTGCTTCTTGTTACCTTTTAATAGGACCATCTGGATGCAATCCAATCGCATCTAGAGTCCCTTTATCCACAACGAGTTCAAATTGCCTTCCCAACTTTGTCTCAAGAATGTCATCAACCTAAGCCATGTAAAATAATGAAGTTATTATGATCGGCAAAAACTTTGAGAGAGAGAAAGTTCAAATAAGATCATGTTACTTCACAATGTATAACTTGAGTTGTAAATATTTCCAAATAACTAATAAATGGCCTACTATTTCCTGGCTATTCAAGAATCACAGATGCTGTTAAGCTTTAAAATTGTATATGCGCGTGCATACTAATACCCTTGAAATAAGATGAGATTTCACAAATATGAGTGGCACAAGGGTGCAGATGAGAATAATAACAAATCTGCAGATGATTTTAATTTTAATGTTTATAATGCCAAAGGCTTCATACCAGTGACCAGCTAGTTTGAATCAAAAGGGCACTTAACAACTATACCCAATTAATATGTACTTTGTTCATTTTGTTTACTTAGCTTTAAAGAATTTCAATTATCATCTCTAGACTTCAAATCATGCTTGTTATCCCTGCCATTAATAATGGTTGACGAAAACCAGATGTGACAACTTAGATGCAACATAATCTAACCAACAGTTGGATGGATTTGAGAAATTGACTAGAAAGGTAGGACCTGTTTGGTAGAGAATTTAGATACTGTTTCTTGTTTTCAGATTCACTAAATCCCTGATTTAGTGAATATCTATTTGGCAGGGTTGTTTCCAAAAACTGTTTTCGAATTCTAAATTTTGAATCCAAAATTTTAACTTTGATAAACTTATTTCATTTTTGCTAAAATTAAAACATTTAAAATATAATATATTATAAATTATATAATATTTTAAAATATTAATTCTATCAAATTTTATAACACTTAGGTTAATAAATTAATTAATAATATTTTAGATTAAACTAAATATTTAGTAGGTAACCAAATGACTTACAAGTATTTACAAAACACCTTGATTATTTTATTTCTTTTAATTTAAATTCAATTTTCATATCTGCTACAAAACACATATCTAAAAACATGGGATAAAACTCTGATTTCATTGAATCCCTCGTTTGCTCAACTCTATAGTATGCCCAATCCATCTCCCAAATCTAATTTGTCAATTTTCTGTCACTTAAAAAAAGAACTAAAAACTAACAGTGAGTCTATTTAGATTTACCTCAGAAAATTAAGGACTTCAGTTATCAAAATTTGAAAACTTAAGGACCAAATGGACATAAAATAAATATTTAGGCACAAAATATACAATTTACCCTTGAAAAATGATTATAAAATCGAATTCAACCCAATTACCTGCTCTTTCAAATCTATGACTCTACCAGATCAGGTTATCTCATCTAAATTTCGAGATTCACAATGCATTTCTAACATCACCGAGTGCCACACAAGTCAAGTTATAACTCCAAAAAATGAATGTCATTCAGCAAACTTTTTATTTTTTAACTTTTTTTAGAAAATAGAAACGTATACAAGCAAAAAATAAATATGTTTAAAAAAAAAACAAAAACAAATCCTACCAATTCTCAAAGTCCAGAAACATCACCAATTAAGTAGAAGGGAACTATGTTCCATAGCACACCCATGGGACAGACAGAGATTTGCACAAATTTTGAAACAGTATAAGTTGGGTAATAATAATACCATTGTGCCAAGTCATACCAAAAAATTAATATTGGAAAAACCATCTCGCTCTGCAAGGCTTCTAGCAAGGTTTATTGCCCCTTCACTATAATCAGTTCCTGTCAAATTAGAGAATCTGCAAGCAAATTCAAGATGACATTTGACAATCGGTAAGTACTGGTGCTATTTGCGAGCTTGTTCAATCTTTAGTAACTAAAATCCGTCAGCCTTTATGTTTTAATTGAGTTCAAAAACTATCACTTGACTGATGGAAGTTTAATGGGGCGGCTAGTAAGAAGGAAGGCTAAATTTCGTTGGAACAGTGCAGTTAGCATGGTTTTATGGGTTATATGGAAGGAAGGAAACATTAGAGTTTTTAAGATTGACAGTTGATGATTCTTTTGTTAACATTTGGCTTCTTAGTGAAGCCCAAATCACAAAGATTTCTTTTGTAATTATAGTCTTTCCATGATTATTAGAAATTGAGAGGCTTTTATAAAATTATGGTCTTTTGTGAGCGGTTATCTCTACCTCTACCCCTACCCCTAGACTGTATTCTTTTGTGATTCCAATACAGTGCTCTTTGTTTCTGATAAAAACAAAAAAACAAAACCAAAATAAAGAACTATCACTTGACAATGGGGAACCAATTCACAACATCTGTATTCCCCTTGCTTCTCCTCTTGTATTCTTTCATTATTTTATCAATGAAAGCTTGGTTTCTCATGAAAATAATAATAATTGTTGTTATTATTATAATAAAATAAAATAAATCAATGGACCTTCTAGTTGAGTTCAAGAATCTTAATCACCGTGATTAACCCTTAAGTTGCTTACAGAAAAGGGAAAAAATAATAAGAAGAAGAAGAGCACCGTGCTTTACATCTCTACGAACTAAGATTATCTCTCCCGATCATGCTCAACTAGTGACCTAATCAATATCTTAATCTCTTTGAATTGTCTAGTCAATGGGAGAAAAACAAAACTCCCTTTATTTAACCACTCCACTTTGGATTTTTGCCTCAAACTTATTTCCCTCGACAGAAAAGGTCAACAAATATAGAGATCTATATCACCCAAAATACGTTTCTATATGTAAAAGAATTATAAAACATCCCCACAATTTTTCTTTCTCCTACTCGATTTAATAACCAACTAGCTTCCTTAAATTGGTAAATTGGTGCATCTATTACCACAAACCCTATCCTCCACTTGAAATAATATATGTCCAAAAAAACTTCTCTTAAATGTTAGCAAGAAACAAAAGGCAAAATCTCAAAACATACCCCTCCTTAGCAAGTTCTTGAAGCAGCAAACCATTTCCCGTCCCAATATCAAGAACACTCCAACTAGTCAAGAATTTGGAACCCTGTTCAACATCCAGTGACTTAACGTTGTCGCTTTGATTTGGAATCTGACCTTGAGAAACGTCAGAACACAAGCTTTTTGTCCAAGATGCAACAGTTTCCATAACTTCAGATCCAAACCTGAAGAAAGAAAAAAACATAAAAATAGAAAACTAGATAAACAAATACAATTTAATTTAAGTCTCGCCTCTCCGATTTTTCCTGGTCAATATAAAGAAAATCTTTTTTTTTTAGACATTAAAGTTTAACAGACCAAATTTCTCTCTTTTTTTTTTTGAAAGACAAAACGCGGTCCTCGAGATTAATTGTTTAGAACAATTACCAAGTATAATTATCCTTTGAAATTTGAATGATTAATACCCAATACTCTTGTTAAAAAAGTTAATAGTGCTAGAAAAGTTCTCCAATCTCTCAAAGGAACTAACAGTAGTACACAGAAAGTATCAACATATAGTATGTTGACAAGAAAAAGTAATTAGAGAATATGATCAGTAGATGAATATAATGCAAAAGGCCAAAAGAGTACACAAAATCGAAATGCAGCTAACTACTAACCACACCTTAAACCTGATTGCCAACAACACAATGATATTAATACTTGATAGTTGATATTAAATAAGATACCTTAAGCAATTCTTACGTACCAGACCTCACCAACGTGGCCATGTTCACGGAAATTGGCCAATTCATCAGCATACTGAGAATCCCAATAACTTTGAAGGCCTAGCATTGACGTCACAGCTTCAGCATCCGGTTCCATTTCATCCTTGTCAGAACTGAAAATAAAACAACACTTGTGAAAGAATGAAAATACGCCCATTAAAAACAAATTATTTAAAGATTAATAGGATTATTATTTTTTTGATCTGGTTAAGAAGATACAGATGGAACATCCTACTGGCCTGCGCGCCAAAGTTTCTAAGCCATTATTGTTGTGATATTCGTTACAGCTAAACGTAGTGAAACATGGATCTAATCTCTAAGCAAACATGACACCAAGGCAGATAAAAGAAAATGTACTACAACAATTCTCCAATTCCTGCAGAGCGAAGAGTTAAATGGGAAACCATACAAGAAATTCACCTGAAGTTCACAGGACTAAGGAAAGAAAGAGCAAGAGATTGGAGAAATAAGGCTCCACTCACACCTTTGGGAGTTCAATATCAGTGTAAGAGAACAGATAAACTACACGAACCACGCCGCATAGTTTCCAGCCAACCCATATTCATTTGTTCCAGAAATTAACGAGAACAACAAGGTCGGTTGAATGCTTTAGGAATCAATCTAAACTAAAAAAAAATACAACCCCAACTAAATAACTAATCGAGAAATGTCTTCAAACTTCCAAGGTCCTAAAAGAACTGAGTTTCAACTATTTCCGGGTAGATTCAAAAAATTCAAAAGAAGAAACTAAGTTTGACCTGTAATCGGATGCAGGACGCAAGTTGCCGGCGGAAAGAGCCTCGGCAGCGTCGGCATTACGCTGGTCATCGTCGAGGGTGCTACCATACTCGCTCTTGATGGACCATGAGTCAGCGGCCACAGAGCGGTCGTCGTCGGAGACCAGATCGACGGCGGACGGCGCCGCCCGAGCCTGGTGCAACAACTCGGCGTCTTCCGGCGTCAATCGAACCGCGGCCATAGTCGCGAGAATGGCAGAAGAAAACCCTAAGAAATCTGCAGAGAGTCAGAAGTCGGAAGCGCCTTGGTTGGTACGACACGGAGCCGATCGCAGCGGACGGTGGATCAATCTTGTGATAAGACGTCAGTTTTGGGCTTTTCTGCAAATATAATATTTAGATATTACTTTTCTTTTCTTTCTTTTTTTTTTGGAGTAAACTATTTAGATGTTTTGTTAGGTGTACCACAAATGCACCGATATCCAACCTCCGACCTCAGAGAAAGGAGTAACGTACCTTAACAAAATAATTACCAAGAGGGTGTGAGTTCGAATCACTTCTCCAATATGTTGTAAAAAAAAAATTATAACTCCAAAATAAATATCAAAATGTTTAAATTAAAATGACAAAATAGTGAGAAAAAGCTTCTTCCTTAGTCCACTTTATATAGAACTTTTTATATTTAAAAGATAGAATATATTAATTTCAAATTAATCTATAATGGGGCTAAAATACTATTTTGTTCCTTATATCTTAAGCCTTCACTTTGACTTATTTTGATCTCTAAATTTTAACAGGTTAGTTTTAGCTTTGTACTTTTAAAAATTATCATTTTGATATCTTTGATTTTATTGTAATCTTGTTTTTTCTGTCACATTTTCAATATGACATTACACTCAATGTATTTAATAAATATAAACATTACTTTGTATTAAATAGTTTTTGTATAAAAATTGTGTTACCAATTTTACAAATATAGACAAAAAATTGTCAAAAGTACTAGGATCAAAACAAACATTTGAGAAATATAAGAACTACAACGAACTATATTACAGTGACAAAAATTAACATTTTAAAAGTAACCAAAATGAAACTGTGACCATAATATTGTTTTTTAGTACAATAAGTGAGGTGGGGGATTCAAACTCGTGACTTATTTGTCACATATAGGTGTCAATTATTACTGAGTTAAGCTCATGTTGGCTCAAAATATTATTTTAACTCTGTAATTTCCATCGAATTGTACGTGTTTTTTTTTTATTCCACACTCCATATGTTGTACTAAAAAAATTGTACGAGTTCTCAATCTAGTCACTTTCAACTTTTATTTATTTTTAGTTATCATACTTTCAAAACGTTGTCTTTATATATCTTACTTTTAGAAATGGTCTACTTTAATACCTATTTGCAAAATTATAATATAAATTTAAAAAATAACAGAAACCATTTGATACAAATATAAATTTCAAAAAAAATAGTAAATTAATTATCAAATTAAAACTAAGATCGAAAAAATGAGATAAAAACAAAAATTGTTTAAAATTTTGGAGATCATAGTAAATGTTTTGAAAGTATAAAAGTAAAATGAACCGATTAAAAGAGACGATTTATATTCCTATGATAGGGTAGATTTTCACATCACTCCTGTTAACTTTATGTCATGCGTAATATTTACTACGGGATTTTTTATAAATAAAATAGTGGATTATGCAGAATTTTTAAATAAGAAAAATCCACATACCATTGTCTACCTCACTATTTAATTACATTCTCTCACCCCTATTTATATACTTTCAATTAAAAATAAAGTGGACCATAAAGTCTTATTTGAATACTTTCATTGGTAAAATTTGCTCACTTCAAACAAATTTACAATTTTGTTGAATATCTAATTTTTAAGGTTTTGTTTTCATACAACGATGCTTACACTTTCTTCATACACAGATAACAAATAAAATTTAATTATGATATTTTAAATTGGACAAAACAATTGTTTAATAATTTAAAAACAAAGTTACAAATAAAAGATAATATATAAAAAAAATATATAATTATAATATTGATTATGTAGGTCAAAATAAGTTAACAATAAAATAACATGTCATGACGGTTAACAAATAAAATAAAATTATAATATTGATTATATGTAAACAAGATAATTATTTAATTATTTGAAAATAAACTTACCGATAAAAACAAAATATCACGAACGAATTTTGAACTACAAATATTATTTAAACGAAAAGAATGAAGCGAAGATGCGGAGAGAAAAGTGAAGTTGTAAAAAAATTAAAAAATAGATAGAAAATGTGTTATTGTGAATAAATAAATAAAATTTYTTTTTTTATAAAAGTTTAAAGTATAAATAAGAATAGGTGTGAAAGTGCTAATCAGAACATAACCAACATATCTATTAATCTATAAGATTGAAAGTTTGAATTACCATCGTTACATGCTATACACAAATGAATGTAACTCAACGATAATTAACATATATCTCAGATCTAGAGTCGTGCGTTCGATTCTTCTGTACTCAAATAGTTTTGAGAGAGGGTGCTCCGCGAAATTATATAAATTAAAATGAAATGAAAAAAAAAGGAGTTGAAACTTTGGGGGAAAAAAAGGAATTGAAACCTTGAGGCCCAAAGTGTTTCGGGGGTTTCATCAATTCAAGGCCCAATCAAGCAGCCACCATGTTTCCCTAGTTGTCACGATTCATGTCAATGTGCTCGAATCACTGCTTCAAGCTTCTGTTCATCGCTCAACTTCCAAACCCAGCAGAAATCTGGAAAAAGCTCGACTGTATGTTGAATTAACAAGTCGCCTACCTGCTTAATTCACCTCCCCGTCCTGTGAAGCGGTCAGTCATGGTTTATGCTTCCTCCATTACCGCCTTCATACTCATTCTGAAGCTAAAACCCCTCTGTCACTAACCCCTCATTACATTTTCTTTGATTTTGCTTTTTGAATACCATTTCTGGGTTCTTTCTCGTTTTGTCGATACATTGATGCAAAGTTTTCTCTCTGTGATCGTTTTCTTTCTGCTGCTCTAATAGGAAGTCTTTGAATGCTGGCATGGCGTTTTGTAGAGCTGCGAAACGTTCCCTAGGATTTGTGATTTCTAACAGGCTGGTGAATAACGCAAGTCGGCATGAATTTTCCAGTTGTGCTACGAATAGGACCTTTGTGGTTGAAGGCGTTCAATATGGAAGTTCAGTTCCTTTCTCTCACAGTGTTTTTTCTGCTCTTAATTTGAAACTTAGTCTCTTGAGAAGATTCAGTGTTGAAACCCCCGCCGGTTCGGACCAGATGAGTCTCATAAGGCAGCTGAGAGAAAGAACTAGTGCACCCATTAAAGATGTCAAGGCTGCTCTTATTGATTGCAGTTGGGATATTGGTAAGGCGTAGAGATAGTTTTTGAAATTTTTTTATGCTTTTGGTTTGTTTTGCTGATTTCTAATGTTTATAACTTGGAAGTACAGAAGCAGCACAGACGGAACTGAGAAAAAGAGGAAAGGTGCTGGCACTGAAAAAGTCTTCTCGAACTGCCGCTGAGGGCCTCCTTGCCTTAGCTCAAAATGAAACCAAAGCTGTTGTTGTTGAACTTAACTGCGAGACTGACTTTGTTGCTAGGAATGAGATTTTTCAATACTTGGTAAGTCTGTGAGTGTCTTCTTTATTTTTATGGAACATTTCAATTTGAATGCGTGTGAATTACAATGCAGATATATAATCATGTGGAGATTGTACGAACTATTCCTGTTTTAACCTTGTTCTTTTGTAAGACATCGTATTATTTTTGTCCCAGGCCCTATCTTTAGCAAGGCAAGCATTGTTGTCTGGAAGCTCAGATAATGTTTCTGGGACATTTCCTGTTGGACTAGAGCAATTGGAGGTAAGATGTTTGTCAATAATTTTTGTGTTCTTATTGAATGTTTATTTGGTGCCATACTGTAGACATTTATGCAAGTAAATGATGGATGGCAACTAGCAATTATCGGTGGTATGCAGTCAGAAATCGGCAGTTAGGAGCCCTTGAAAAGCTATTTTCCATCGACTTCTTAGTTTTCTTAAATTTATAATATACTTGGTAAAGGCCAAATTAAATTTCATTTCATCTACTTCATTTGCATCATTAAGAAGGTGCGTTTCAAGTAGAGCTCGCGATGTATCCCACCCTCTCTCATCCTCTCCGTCCTTCTCGCCGTGAACGATGATTCTCCCACCTTACTACGGTGAAAATGGGGAAACTTTCAGTAAAGATTGAGAACAAGGTCTTTACGTGTAGCTTAGACGAGCGAAAAGGAGGCGGTTTCGTTAAGATAGCCGAGAGACATGGAATAAGGTTTTTCGAAGTTTCTTTGGAAGAAGTTGCCGGCTGCCGCAGTTTGGATTGCTGGCAGTGTTGAAGACCTTCTATTGACTCCTCAAACCCAGAAGTTTTTCAGGTAGATGACTTGCAACAGAGGTTTCATTTGGGTACCAAAAACTTCAAACAAGAGAGGAAGCTTCTTGGAGTTGACGAAAGTTCAAAGTTTTGGAGGGAAAAGGAATATTGTGGTCCCGTCGGATGAAGAATACAAAGGTTGGACAACTTTCCATAAGCTGCTCATCGATTTTTTGAATGGGAAAAAATCGAACAAGAATGGGATGTCAGGGAGCCCCTCCCCTCCGGAGACTCGCCCAAGGTCAACGAAGCAAAAGTCTTTTGCCGACGTACTAAGAGCAGATGTGCAGAAAATAGACAAGCCGGCCACTTCCCTTAGTTCGTCGTGGAATGTTAAAAGTACTGCAGGAGAAACAGAGGTTCGCAGCCTAAATTGGGAAGACACAATCGTAGTTAGTGACGCACAGAGACTTTCACAATGATTGGGAAAGAATTCGGGGAATAATCCAAGAGCAGACTGAAAGCAAGTTGATCATCAACGCCTTCCAACTGGATAAGGCCTTGCTAAAATGTTCTACCACATAACTTGCTCGTCTTCTCCTAAAAAATAGAGGATGGGTTACCTTTGGGCCTTTAACTCTACAAATGGAAGCCTGGAATCCGCAACTGCACGAGCGCTCTTTCGTGGTTCCTTCTTATAGAGATTGGTAGAAGTGAGAATCATTCCCCTGCATCTATGGAGTTTGGCAACTTTTAAGGCAATAGGAAATGCTTTGGGAGGTTTTCTAGACTATGCCAGCATTAATTCCTGCCTTAATAATTGTTTGGAGGTGGCTTTAAAGGTCAAAGGTACTATTGCGGGTTCATTCCAGCAGAAATAACTATTGTTGATGGTTTTCACTCGTTTCAGGCAGAGGTGGTCTCTTTCGAAAACTGTGATTTTTTGGCCGGAAAAGTCATCAGAGTTCATAGGGATTCTCACCAGAGGCTGCAAGAGCGTTCTACCAAGTTGGTAACAACGGCTCAGGGGCTAGTACAACGAATGCTTGGAGAAAATCCAGGACGGATAGCATTACCCAGTGGTGAAAATCTGGTACCCTCCCTGTGTGACAGGACAAATAGGTGGCTCCCCTGATGCCCCTTGTACGACGGACTCGACAGGAGCCTGCCCCCCATCTTTTGTCAACTCCTTATCTCAAAACGAAGCAACCACAGGCACATAGACCAAAGCAAAGGACAAAGAAAGACCTGTGACTCAAAACTTTCAAAATTTTGTCTTTTCTACTATGTTGGCCCCACCAAGCCTTTAGATGATAAGGTTGATGACCCTTATCGTGATTATCAAAAGCTAAAAGGCAAAGGTAAGGCTGTTTCATTTTCAAACAAAAATCACACCCGTTTTTTTCCAGAAAAAAGGAAAGATACACTCTACAGATGACAAAGGAAAAGACAAAGATTCAGAAAAGAAAGAAAAAGGGGAAGCAGATTCTGAGACTTCAGCGATGAGCTTCAGCAGTGTGGAATTAGAATGTGTTGAAGCAACCCCTTTGACTGTTGAACAGGACGACTTACCAGAAGGTTTTTCTGAATGTTTTAAGGAGTTGGATGATTTGCAGCTTTCAGGTCAGATTGTAGAAAGGGACCTGACCATTTGTGAGGATTCTCGAGTAGAATTGACAGAATCCTCAAAATTACAAAGAAAAACTAAAGTAGTTGTAGTCAAGCAGAGATGGGGTCAACAAGAGAAGGAGGCCACAGATTCCTCTGAGGATGAAGAGGACGATAGAACCAGCCACCCTTTCTCTAAAAAAATGGTAAGAGATTTGAAAAAATGGCACATGTGCATCTGACCCATTTCCAACAAAGGAAGTGCTTCGGTTAAAAAAAAGACGAGGGGATAACTAATTATCTCAGATATGTGGAGAAGGAGATCGAAGTTGAAGAGTTGCAAGTAGACGAGGGCCTTACGGTGTGCCATGAAGATTGTTTCCTGGAATGTTAGAGGGATTGGCGCTCCCCCCCAAAAGAGTGCTCATCAAAGCTCTGTTGTAAAAAAACGGGCCCGATATAGTCATTCTTCGAGAAACAAAGATAGCTTTTTTGATAGAAGGCTGGTCAAAGCCATTTGGAGTTCGAGACATGTTGGGTGGTCTGTGCTGGATGCAGAAGGCTCTTCGGGTGGAGTCATTGTCACGTGGAATCAACGCACAGTCCAGGTGATGGATTCCATTCTTGGTATTTATTCGGTTTCTGTTCTAGTTAAGTTAATTATAAAGATTGCTTTCAGGGTTGGGTGACAGGGGTTTACGGTCCTTCCACTCCCAAAGGAAGAGATGATTTTTGGCAAGAAATTATCGACTTCATTGGCTTGTGCTCAGATTTGTGGTGTGTAGGTGGAGATTTTAATGTTGTAAGAAGGACAGGGGAGAAGTCAAATGGTGGAAGATTGACAAAAAGCATGAAGAATTTCAATACGGTCATCGAGGAGCTTGACCTTTTTGATGTTCCCATGAAGAACTTGCTGTTCACGTGGTTTGACTTTAGGGACCGATCGATCGCCACCCGCATCGACAGATTCCTTCTCTCGAGAGGTTGGTTGGAAGCCTTTAAGGAGGTCGAAATGGTGAGACTGACGAGAACTACTTTGGACCATTTCCCTTTGCAGCTTAAGCTAGGAAACCAAAAATGGGGTCCTTCCCCTTTTTGATTTGAAAACATGTGGTTGGACCACCCATATTCCATGGCAAATTTACAGGATTGGTGGAGTTCGTTAAAGTATGAGGGCTGGCCGGTTTCGTGTTCATGTCAAAGCTAAGGGGCTTAAAACAGAAACTGATTACCTGGAACAAAAAGGTCTTTGGAACGGTTGAAAACCAGATGAGGCAGATTCAAGGGCAGATTGATGAGCTTGATAATTTAGAAGAACAGGGAGGTCTCAATGCCAACTTGCATACAGAGAGAAATGAGCTAAAGGCTGCCTTTATGGATTTAACATTGAAGGAGTAGAGGAAATGGGCCCAGAAATGTAAGCTCGGGTGGCTTAAGGAAGGGGATGAGAACTCCAATTTTTTCCATAGACGGGCCTCTGCTAGAAAATCCAAAGCAGTTATTTCTACCATGGAAAAAGAGGATGGCTCGTTCTTGACTTCAGAAGTTGAAATTGAGCAGGAAATTGTGGGGTTTTTTGAAAAATTATATGGAAGCACCACTGGTGATAGATTTTTGGTGGATGGTATACAATGGGATTGCCTAAGTGAGAGTTGGGAACTATGGCTGGAAAGACCGTTTGAAAAGGAGGAGATTCACAAGGTTGTTAGCAACTTTGGAAACCTGAGGTCCCCAAGTCCGGGTGGCTTCACTAATGAGGTTTTTTTTTTTAAAAGCTTGGAACATTCTCAAAGACAATCTCCTAAGAGTGTTCCATGATTTTTTTCAAAACGCCATCATAAACCAGCGCACCAAAGAAACATACATTTGTTTGATTCCGAAGAAGACGAAAGCTATGAGAGTTGGGATTTTAGACCAATTAGTCTTGTGACCTCCTTATATAAAATCATTTCTAAGGTCCTAGCCGAAAGACTTAAAAGAGTTATGTCTTTAATCATTCATGATGCCCAATCTGCTTTCATTGAAGGAAGACATATTCTAGATGCCATTTTGGTTGCAGCTGAATCAGTGGGTGATTGGAAAGTCAATAACAAATCTGGTTTCATCTTAAAGTTAGACTATGAAAAGGCCTATGACAAGGTGGATTGGCTTTACCTTGATGCAGTCCTTGAGCAGAAAGGTTTTGGGCAAAAATGGAGGAGTTGGATCAAAGGCTGTTTGTCATCTGCTAACTTCTCAATTATGATCAATGGGCGGCCTCGAGGAAAGGTTCTAGCTAAGAGAAGACAAGGAGACCCATTGTCCCCTTACACTTCACTTTGATTGGCGATTCTTTTAGAATGGTCCATTTTTGCTGTCAAAGGATTTTCATCAAGGGGTTTGAGATAGGCAGTAGAGAAGTGGAGATTGCCCACTTGCAGTATGCAGACGATACGATCATTTTCTGCCTGAATCAAGAAGGTATGCTTTCAAATTGGTGGATGGTGATAAATATTTTCCTTCTAGGTTCTGGTCTTTCCATAAATCTGAAGAAAACAGCCCTTATTGGCATAAACGTGGAGGAGGAGCTTTTAAGATCTACTGACAGTGTTTATGGTTTCAAAGTGGAAGAGTTTCCTTTTTCCTATCTGGGCATTCCGCTGGGGGGCAATCACAAAAGACTCTTATTTTGGGAACTCATGGTGGACAAGGTGAGAAAGAAGATAGATAAATGGAGGAATCTAATCCTATCCAAGGGTGGTCGTCTTACTTTGGCTCAATCAGTGATTACTAGTATTCCACTTTACTATTTTTCCATTCTTAAAGCCCCGACTGGTGTAGTTAGGGAAACAAAAAAGCTTACAAGAAATTTCCTATGGAATGGTGGTACTCAGAAGGGCACATGCAATCACTTGGTTAATTGGGGGGAAACGTCCCTCCCTGTACAGTACGGGGGTCTCGGAATTGGAGGCCTTCAACAAAAAAACAATAGTCTTCTTCTTAAGTGGCAGGAGACTAATGCCCTATGGAGGAGGGTGATAGCCAGTATCTACGGTGAGCCTTTACATGGGTGGTCTACTATTCCCCCAAGAGGGAAAGCTCAAGGGAGACCTTGGTTTGATATTGCCAAAAACAGTAGGTTCTTTCACAGATTTTTGATGTTCAAAGCGAAAAGTGGGGAAAGAATCAGTTTCTGGAATGACAAATGGATAGGTGACAGCATTCTTCGAGACTCTTTCCCGCTCATCTTTAACGTATCCATGAAAAGGAATGCTTCAATTGCTGATTGTTAGAAGGAGGAGGAGCAAGATAGGGACTTAAGTCTTCACAGAGGGCTTTTTGACTGGGAGGTTGATAGCTGGTTGGATCTTATTCAGAGGTTGGATGCTGTGCAGCTAGGAGAAGTGGAAGATACAGCTCTCTGGATGTTGGAAAAAGAGCAAAAATTTACCACCAGATCAGCCTTTATGAAATTGGCAGAGTGCACTCCCTTGCTGAAGGTCCCCCTCATTGCATCCATTTGGAAGTTCAAAATTCCAAAGAAAATTAAGGCCTTTCTTGGTCAATGGCTTATTGAAGTTTAAACACTCATGAGATTATCCAAAAGAAATACACAAGCTGGGCACTCTCCCCTTCGGTGTGCAGCCTCTGCCTTTGCAGTGATGAGACCATTGACCACCTAAGAAGCACGGATACGGACACGGGACACGGACACGGACACGACAGGACACGGCGATACGTCAACTTCTAAAAAACTAGGACACAGACACGCTGGGTGTCACAACCATACTAGTAGAGAGTAGGTTGTGACGCCCACGTAGTGTGCAAGTGTCAGCGACAAGCATATGTCGCCCATCGGGCCGAGAGTGAAGTGTCGTGATGCGACCAAGGAGGATGGTGCATCACCTATCACACCATATGGATGTGCTCAAGAATGCCTAGAGAAGGCATATGCAGAATGCAAAGCGAAGGCGACGTCAGTGGTGTCGGTGACAAGCTCAACGGGGGCCAGTTGGGGCCCCGGGCCACGACCCTAGAAGTTGGGGTTCCGTCGAGAGTTTGGACGAGCGGCTTTAAAGTTAGATGCATATTAGTGAGATATGTAAGCACGCCAAGTTTCGTGTCAATCGGAGTTCAAACGTGCACTCTACGTTGGCGAGTGACTCCTYGCCACTTTCGACGTTCATGCCTGCCAAGTCAAGTTTGCCTTAGAATGTACCTTAGGGGGAGACATGGTGTTGGCTCTCCACCACCCCTGGGCCATGTCAGGGCCTAAGTGAGCCACCCCATGGCACATGCGTGTGTCATGGCGAGGGCGAGCGTCTACAAGACGAGTGTCTTGGGCGACTTCCGTCGAGGATAGAAAACTCGAGGACAGTGTCGGGCGGCACGGGTGTGCCGGCATTGCGCCTCGGTCCATGTGTCGGAGGTTGCACCACGGGGGTCCCTATGCGGTACGGTATGCTC